AGTAAATGGGATGTACTGATCACGAATCTATACTTAGTTTTTTTCCAGCACGTCAGCTTTTCAAGAAAAGTGTGTCGTTTGAAAATTTTCATAGAAACTGCCAAAAATATTTATTGAAACTTTATTTAATACAAAATTACACTGAAAAATTGAGTTGTTCTTAAAAAAGAATTCAGTATAAACTACGTTACACAATATTTGTTTTTTTTTTTTGAATAAAACTGTTCTCTTTTGACATGAAAACTGCGTTTCGTGGTCTTCTTTTTATGGATTTTTGTGATCAAGTCTCTCTTCAAGATCTAGCAGTAATCAGCCATCATTCTTATATCCCATCTTCCGTGGTAACGTTTCTCGATCTCCTTTATATCTTGATAGAACCTCTCTACCTGCTCCTTGTTGACAGCTCCAACATTTTGGGGAAAATAGTCAATGTGGGAATCCAGAAAATGAAGTTTGATGTTCATATTGCATTCCAGTTTTTTATAATTTTCAACGCCATGTTGGCTACAATTTATTTATAGTTGGGAGACTTGTTCCAAGAAAATCGTCTATGACTTCTACGAAAGAACTGCATCCTTCAGATTCATTCTGGGTCATTCTATTTTGGAACAATCTGTCCGATTTTAAGGTTCAAATTTGAGGGCCTACAAAAATTCCTTGTTTAAGTTTAGCTTCAGAAAGTGCAGTAAATTTGTCGCATGAATATTTAAAGCAGTTACCTTGTTTATCTAAAGCTTTAACTGCGTCATCAATCCTAACTTTACGTGAAGAGGAAGCAAAAGAACTAATTTTGAGTCAACTAGTGTATCACGTTGCACATTTTTTTATTTCGGTACAAGTCTTTCTCTGAGTGGTCACTCTTTCTTAACGTAATATAAATTTCGTGCTCGACTATCCCACTCGCACAAAAAACATGGATACTTTGGGAATCCAGACTGTTTCCCCAAAAACATGTATATTATTTTGAGATCTTCACAGATTTGCTATACTTTATCTCATTCATTGTGCAACAAGACACCCTTCAGACTTCTCTTGAAACAATCAATAAATAACCACCATGATGTGATGGTGGTTATTATGATGATAATAGATATTACTGGAATAGATGTAATTCGCTTGTCTGTTACTAAAAATTATTTTTGCCTTAATTTAGTATGTTTATATCGTCCACCTATTACAATACTTGCACACGATAATGTTTTCTTCATAAAACTTGAAGAACTATCATCTCTTGATAATCTTATCATTACTGGAGATTTTAATTTCCCAGAGATCACCTGGCCAATAACTTCATTATCTGACGCCGAAAAAGCTCATAATTTATTTAAAACCTTTGTAGTAAATTCAAACCTGATACAACTCATTATAGAACTAACTAGATTTAAAAATTATAACTAATCTTCTACCTTAAATCTAGTGCTTATTAATGACGAACAGCTGATTTCATCTCTCGAAGTCAGTTCTCCTATAGGAAAGTCAGATCATGCAGTTATAACGGCTCACATCCAGTTCAGTCAAATATTACCCCGAAAAAATAATATTGTAACATATGCTACTACCGACTTTTCTTAAGTTGACATTGAACTCTCTCAAATCGACTGGCATTTATTTTTTGCAAATTTAAATGACCCCTCATTAATGTGGACTACATTTCTCGATAAAGTCCACAACATAATTGCTACAAATACCACTTTCCATAAGAGTTATAAAAACAACCTTAAACCCTGGATAAATCGAACAGCAATTAAACAAATTAATCAAAAACGAGATCTATAGCGAAAAATTAAACACACCGGGCTTCTTAGTTATTTCCAAAGCCACAGCAAGCGAAGCAGATTTTCAAATAACTTAAAAACATCTCTAAAAACCCTAAGGCAAAATTTTGAAGCAAATATTGAAAGTGGTAACATTAAAAAAATCTACACATACCTCCATGACGTCTAAGTTTCCATTCCTCTACTTCAAAAATCCAACCAGACTTTATGCTCTTCTGACAAAGAATCTTCCGAAACTCTCTCTTTAGCATTTTCACAGGTTTTTACTAAAGAATCGAATACTGGTTATCTACCTGCTATTAACTGCAATCTTGTCGGAGCATCCTTACAGTAGGTTGAATTTACAGCAGATCATGTCAAACGACATTTAATTAAACTTTGCACAGCCGCTTCACCTGGTTTAGACGGTTTAACACCAAAACTGTTGGTGCGCAGACACAAACTTAACGTTAATTATGCAAACTTCTTTCATCCAGAACTCCTTACCCCCTAGTTGGAAATTAGCTTCCGTTACCCCTATTTTTAAAAAAGGCAACAAACTCGACCCCAACAATTATCGTCCGATTAGCTTGCTGCCAGTAGTTGCCAAAGTTATGGAAGCCATTATTTCCGAGGAGATGACCAAATTCTTTCTCCAGGTACATATTATTCCAACACAACAACATGGATTTGTCTCTGGTCGCTCTACTCTAACCAATCTCTTACATTGTATTAACGACTGGACGTCATCCCTTAACAGTTCGCAACTGGTCGACGTTATTTATCTAGATTTCTCTAAAGGCTTTGACCGTGTAACTAAGCACAGGCTTCTACATAAGCTAGATAATTTCGGAGTTCGCGGTACTTTACTTCGTTGGATAGATGATTTCCTGACAGATCGATATTACAAAGTTAGAGTTGGCGAATCTTTCTCACAGAACAGGTTAGTGGAAAGTGGAGTGGCTCAGGGTTCTGTCCTTGGACCTCTGCTTTTTACGGTTTACACCAGCGATGTTCCTTATTACGTCTCAAGTAAAATATCTTTCTACGCTGATGATACAAAAATATATGCCAATCGAATCACAAACCAGCTAACCCTCCAAATGGACTTAAACTCTATTTTAACTTGGTGTTCCCAGTGGTTACTACCCTTAAACGCGGAAAAAAATGTATAGTGCTTCGAATTGATAAATATATCCCACTTGTGCCGTACTTTGTTAACGGGCAGCCATTAGATTCTGTGTTTTCGTATAACGATCTTTGTGTTATCGTAAACAGCAACCTAACTTGGTCCGACCATATTACCTCTATTTGTAAACGTGCGAACTCCACACTGTATCTTATTCGGAGGTGGGTGTTTTTCGAAAGTTTAAATACAATCGTTCTGTAAACGTTACACTCTGTACGTAAGACCCACACTTGAATACGCTAGACCAACGTGGTATCCTGATCTGGTTCGAGACAAGACATTGTTGGAAAACGTCCAAAGTCACTCGAATTTCTTTGGGACCGAGAAGATCTTCTTATGCAGAAAGACTTAGTATGAATAACCTAACTTCATTTGAACTTCGCCGACAACGTGGAGAGACTTAACCACAACTTTTAAAATAATAAAATTCAATTTTGTAAATCTCGATATAATGATTACCATTAATCAAGATGAACGCTTCTGAGGTCATCAGTTTAAACTAAAGAAAGAAAATTTTTCTACAAGATCACGACATAACTTTCTACTAAATAGAGTTTTTGAGTGCTGGAATAACCTTAACGATAACATTGTCTCTGCTCCCTCTACCAACTCGTTCAACCACAGACTTGACCGTTTTATATTTTAGTTAAAATATTGTTTTTCTTTTAAAGCAAAAACTGTAATTTTATTCGTAATTTTGTTATTTACTATAAGTACTACTACTTTACTATAACCTACTTATAGTAGGTTATTAACGAAATTTCTTTGTTTTTGGGCATAATAGGGACTTAGTTCCTCTGCCCTCGCTTATGTATAATAATAATAATCTGATGATTGCTGTTGAATGGTGTGAAGAAAAGGTGGAGGAATAGGGATTCATGGTCCATGAGATACAGGTCGTTTAGTAGAAGGTAAATCCGGATATTGAATTTTGTGTTTATTTTTTAAATTGAATCCCTTAATATAGCAGGAGCAAAAGTAGCAGTCATATCCATGGTTTTAGGTTTTCTCCATACCATAAGAATGCCCAAGAGTAAAAAGTTATTTATACCTTTTGTTTATTTTCTTAGAAATTCGACACACTGAAAGCACACTTTATATGGAGCACAACGTTTGTCCTGATCACTAAGATTTACACCGAAATAAGCGTTATAAGCTTTCTTTATTTAGCCTGTTATTTTTGTTGATGCTTTCCTATTATTAAATAATATCATACGTAACAACATATAGCAGGACGGTTCTTACACTTTCTTGATGAAATTATGGCGCGAAATAATGAACATAAGTAATTTAAAGAAATAATTTTAAGGCAATTTACGAAATAGCAATAAGGTAATTTTTTGCGCTAGTACATATATCACAATGTCTTTTTAATTTAGTGAAAATTTAGACGTGATGGGATTAAACCGAATTCATATTAAGAATCAGCCTACACGTATTAATTAAGGACACATGTCAAACACAAAACACCAAAAATCATGTCGGCCTGTGTAATTTAACGATCTTCACCGTTAGTATTTAAAATCAAATTGCGATCTTATATTGTTTATAAGTAAAAAATGACGTTTAATCTTATTCATATTTTTTTATTACATATTGTTATATAGTAAGTTCGATTCCATTCCAATAAATTGCATTCGGTTCGATGCTAATCAATTTAAATCGTTTCAAATTTCATTCCATTCGAATTTAATTGATTCTATTTGATTTTATTTATTTTTAATTAAGTTAATTATTTCACGGAATTGCCTTTACTACCGCATATAGTGTGTGGTCGCACGAACTCACATTTCATTGCGTTTCTTTTTTCACACCTCTAAGCGACGGAGTACACACTTTGAGATATCTATATATTTACGTTCTCCACAATGATTGTCAGAATTTTCGACTACTGTCTGTTCTGTTCTGTTTCGACTGTGTACACCACTATTATCCAACTATGGATAATAGTGGATAATAGTAGAGGTACATTATCCAGCTATGTGTAATTTTATCGGAAACCTTGAGGTAGCCATGGTTTAAACAACTAGATAAATAAGTAAAACATCAAATTATTTTTAATTTTATTTTATATACAAATAATTTCTATGTACAAGACTTATTTATTACACCTACTATCAACTTAATATTATATTTGCTCAGTTAATTAATTGTAACAATAAAAAATAGTAACGTACATCACAGGTAAAAGTTGTTGCATTCAAAGTGCACTAATTATAAACTATAAGAACTAAAACTAATTGCTATTCCTCTTTCTAGTCTAAAACTCGCGTAACGGTAAAATTAACTTTCGCTAATGGCAAAAACTTAAACGATTAATTTTAAAAACCAGATTTTATTTTTGGACATGCTTGAATTACTATTATTTGCAATGGAAACTTTATTTACATGATTACTAGAATGCCTTTTTCATTGACCAATTATCAAAATATTCGTCATCCTTAAAGCTATCATTTAAAAGCGTATCAACAGAAGGTACAATATTATCTAATTCTAAACTGTCTGCGCCCAGATCCTCCAAAATTATATCAATCGCATTTAGATCAAGTCATGTATCGGCGGCTTCTTGTGTAGTAGGTCATAACTCGATCGTAACAATTTCATTACTTTCATCTACATGTGAATCGCATCTTTCCAAGGTAAGGGATGGATTTAAATTAAAAAGAGTACCAAGTCTTTCCGCAGACATGTCTAGATGCATTCCGTTAATTTCTACAGACGACATAATTTTATTTAAGTCTACATCTTCTACGGTATTTCCATAAAAGCTAAATTCTTCCATAGGAAGAGTTGAAGGTTTCGAAGTGGATTTTCTCGCTGTATGTTTTTTACTTACTGGAGACTGAACAGAGCGGGCAGAGGGTTCTGGTACAGATACCGCTGTTTTACAAATAGTTGCCATAGTCGAGGCATATAAAGCTTCCATAGCTTCATCATGAATGATGTTCTCCTCCACATTAGGGTGTTCCTTCTTATAATGAAAAATTGCATCCGTTTTGGTTCTTAACCTAAAATAATTTTTGTTACTTTTGAACATATGAATAACACTATACCCAAATTTAGATAAACATAATTAACTTTTATAAAATAAACGTACCATTTCATACTTTTTGTTTGCGTTTATCATGATGATAATCTAAATTGATGTTAAAATAGGAGATTTCGATTCCAGATTAGAAAGAAAATCAGAATAGAAATAAACGGGTATAGTAAAAGAAATGATAGAGGACATACATTGATGAAAACTTAGAGGAGAGATATCTTTTCACCCTGTACTCGTTTTTCGACAAAAAATACATAGAAAATGGACATGAATAAGTTTCAACGGTAGCACTAAAACCAGATTGATTACATCCTCCATTGTGATCCATTACAACCAGTTTTACCTGGTTGGAGAAGAATATATTACAAGAAAAGGTACACAAAAAGCTGCAAAGGTATTTCAAGCGCTTACTACAGGTTGTCGCAATAAATGTCACGAGAAACTTTCCCTAGATGAACAAAAAGAAATTTTTCTGGAAGAATGAAGATACAGTTAAAGTGGGCAGAGAGAAAAGATAAAGGAGAACGCGGAAATAATAAAAACAGACAAATTGTGGTTTCATATTTTATCACATATAACTAAAAAACATTAAAAATTTGCAAAGAAATGTTCCAGAATCTACGTAACACAAGAGGAAAAATTGATATTTTGAAGATATTTAGAAAATTGATATTTAGAATCTTTTCCAAAATATGAGAGCCCCTACTCTCGAAGACACATAAGTCGACTCTATCTAGATCCCAACCTAAATATTAAACTCATGTATGATCTTTATGCATCAAACAGAACAATGCCTGTATTATATTCCTTTTATGCTATGGTTTTTAAAGAACTAGCAGAGATTGACTATAATGAAAAAAAGCAGACATACAGTTCCCCAGAAATAGTAGCGGCAAAATGGTTGTTTTAGAGTATTTGCAACAGAAGCTACGAACACCCATTTTAAGCACAAATGTAGCTTACTATTAAAGATTGCTCTGGGCATATAACCTCACTCACAATCAGAAATTGCACTGAAAATACCACTTCATGTTTTATGTGACATGAGGGGTTGTCAGACCGTGGATCAGATCAAGTCTTTTTTTATATATCTTTAAAATACCTTGACAGCTTAGTCGATACTGTTGAAAAAGTTATTCTGTATTCGGATTCTTGCCCCGGGCAAAAAAATTACATTGTCACATGAGCACTATCTTTATTTGCTTATAGATCAACAACCATAAATGAAATAGAACACAAGTTCCTGGAAGTGGGTCGTACTAGAATGGAATGTGATGCCGACCATGCGAGAATTTAGAGTGCCAAAAGATCGTCACTAATTGAGATAACGATACCTCATGACTGGTACCAATTTGTTAGAACTGTCCCTGGTAGGAAGAAATTTCAAAATATCGAAATGCAAAGAAAAGAGTTTCTAGCGTATTAAAATATGTTCCAAAATATCGACGTAAAGCGTGATAAAGGTGTGAATAATGAAAATGTGAAATGGTATGATATAGAAGTTTTACGTTTGTAAACTTAATATTAAACGCAGAGGACAGTAGATGGATCCTACAATAGAACCTGTTACAGTGGACCTAAACCCATAAAGACTCAAAAAAAGAAGACTTGCTTTTCCTGCTGCAATAACTTGATCCAGTGTACCATCCATTTTACCACGAACATTTTACACGACTAGTGAGAATGTAAATGATGCAATTTAATGTTTTATTTTTAAATGATAAACTATACTTTTTTATGTAGATTAATAACTTTTTAAAGACATTTCTACTGCAGTTTAAATTTAGATATTCCATAAATTGATGAATTTTAAATTATTTATAAATTGATTAAAACTAACCATCTTTATTAAATATTGAAGTTTTAATTTCAGTATAAATTTCTTTATTTTTTATTTTGTAATTATGATATTCACTTATTTTATATACTTAACTTTGACAAGATATGTCTATAAATGGCATCTAAGATATATGTCAAAACATGATATGTTAGTAAAATCCCATTTCACACTAATATTTCCAAAATTAATGTACACTATCAGTTTAAATAGCATTTTGTTTATTTATATACGAAATTTCATAAAAATCTAAGAAAATTTGAGCGAGTAAAAAATAAAAAAATCAAGTTATAAATTTTTAATCTTGCTCTACTGAAAACTTGTTCTATTTGACATATCAAGTTTTGGCAAATAGCTACAGAATTTAATTGATAGAAAAAGTTTAATGTAACAACTTACTTTATTCCGCAAGTGCCACATATATGAGCCTTGAAATGATTTTTCACATGCGCCCGTATATTTCCCAAGCCGTTGGAAGTAAAGTCTCTTTCATATCTACATAACGAACATTTATAATGTTTCCATTCTTTTTTCAAACCTGGTACGGAAGGCTGTGTAACATTCTTACGAATACTCGGTTCGGATATTTTCATTTTCACTGGTTCAAAATAGTGTATTTTGTTGAATATATCTTTACATTTCAATTGAACTCCTGGATGTCTTCGATTGAAATGGACCCTTATGCCATGGAATTTGGTAAATCGTTTATTGCAGCAACAGCAGCTATACCTTAAAAATATATTTAATATTTTAAATACATACTTGAATTAATTTCGTTAATTTGATCTTTTGATCTTTAAAAGTTTTATATATTTAACCTTTTCACTGATAATGATACGTTGATCCTGACAATCTAAGAATTTTCGGCATTGCTGTTTTGTAGAGCTGACGCTCATTGCTGCTCTATAGCGATATATATAAAATATATATATATATATATATATATATATATATATATATATATATATATATATATATATATATCTATAGACGGTGGTGAATCGTCAAACGGGCCATAGGAAATTCAATCTAAAATTATGAAATGTTGAATTCCTGCTTCCCTAATTATTTTACATCAAAAGTCATAGGAAACTATTTGTAGAGGACTGAAATATGTATTAAAAACAAATATTAAAATTGTTCTACAAATTAAATGTATTCCAAAATCTTGTAAAAATATAATACATTTTTCAGACCACTCCTTAAATTCAGGCCACACGAGGTACAAGAACGTGTATGACATGTTGCGTTTGGTCATATGTTATGTTTCTGATATTTGACAATATTTGAATTTCCAAAATTGTAATTTTGTAATTTATTGTTTAAAAAACAATACAGTTGATTAAAAAATGTATTCAGTTGAGAGGAAACTAGCAATAATAAAAATGTATTTTCAGGCAATAGTGCGCGAATTGTCAGTTCTTTATTTAGCATAAGATATTCCAATAGACCAATTCAAAGTCATTTAACAATTTAAAGGATTTTACAAAATTTTGTAACTAATGAGACCGTGATTTCTAATTGTACCTGCAGAAACAATATTGCTGAGGTACCAAAAAATTTAGAAAAACAAAATGAAATAAATGTAGAGTTTGTAGAAATGCAGCAGTTGTAGAAAATCCTAGAATAAGTTCTCGGACCATTGCAGACCAGTTTAATATTCATAATTCTACGGCAATAAAATTTTTGAAAAGGAATAAATTCCGTTTATATGAACTGAATACATTTCATCAATTTTATTGCTTTGTAACCAACACTACACTAGTTGTAGTAGTATTTCTAAAAATTTGCGTATTTTAGTATTATACATAGTTCAGTCACAGTATAGTGCTTTAAAAATAATACTATACTGTGGTTCAGTCCTCTACAAATAGTTTTTTATGACTTTTGATGGAAAATAATTAGGGAAGCAGGAATTCAATAACAACAATTTAGAATTTCCCATTGAATTTTCTATGGTCCGTTAGGCGAATCACCACCCGGTATATATATATATATATATATATATATATATATATATATATGATGGAAGGCGTTTATACGTATGTCTGACTATTGGTCGTCTTTAGTACGGTGCAGCCAATTTAGAACAGGAGCATATTAACTTTGGAAAGGATCGCTACAGGAGCAATGCGACCAATTCGTAGCAATAATGTTAGAAACCTCAGTCTTCTCTAAGTGGAATTATACAGTACATAGTTACCGTACGTTTTGCATGGAAGTGAGGACTAAAGCAAATTTCGTCTACTGCGCCGTAGTCAGGAGTGTTTGCACTATCTCTACTTATAACGAGCAGAAAACTAAGCTTGGGACTAATCACTAAATCAATATATACATATTATAAAATGTTTTACCTATACACATAGAAAGTTTCTCCTTCATGAACATCCAAATGATGTTCTCTAATAGCTATTTCAGAACCGATTTCATTACAAATGGTGCAAGCCACATATTCATCCTTCCTATTATCGCATTGGGGTCTATTTAGTACCTTGAATTTAATGTGCATGTGATCGTGTTGGCCAGATATATGTGACATTATTTGCATTTCTGAGTTGGACATGTACGGGCAGTACTCACAGCAAAATACGTCGCCATCGTTGGGAACATTGGTATCGGTTTTGGAGATTATTACCAAATCTGAGATATCTACAGTATCTGAGGACTATAAATAAAAAGTATATTAAAAATGTGGAAATATAAAAAATATATGCACATTATTTTATTTACAATTCTTTACGGTATTTTTTTTACATCTTGTAGGTATTTTCAATAATGCGTAATATGTTTAATTCCCCCATTCAACAAATCGGCGTATGATCTCTTAAATGATTTTCTCAGGAAAACAAAAATAAATATTTAGCATGGAAAACTTATAAAAAAATTGAAAATTTTGTGGAAGTTTTGAAAACAAAGCTTTCAGTGTTTTATTGTCGTATAAAATGAATTTCCATCAAATAACGGTCGAATCCATCACTAACTTTGTAATAGTTGGTAGATTACTTACTTACAAAATCTCATGAACGTGACTCACTCATTTTGTGACGTCAGTCTACGAATAATCCAATATTGAATAATACAAAAAACTGACTGGGAGAGCTTCAAAATAAATCTTGAACACAAAATTGCTGTGCGATCGAGAAACACGTGGCAACTTGATGACGAATTAGAAGTTTTTATAAAAGATATCCAACAGCTAGCTTGGAAAAATACTACCACAATAACTTTTAGAACAAAAGGGAACAACTATAAAAAGAAATCAGAGAACTCATAGTATAAAAAAGGAAGTTAAGAAAAAAATGGCATCAATAAAAAACTCCACGAGACAAAACTAGTCTAAATAATCCTACACAAAAACTAAAACGGGAGATACAGAATAAAAATCCAACAATTAATTTTTTTTTTAAGTAATTTAACAGCTGATCCAATGATGGTGAAGAACTGAGATGAGAAGAACCATTCCAAACTGAAGAATGAATAACGTTGACATCATTTAGAGACGTATCAACAGAGATAAAAGAGAATATAAATCCTAAGAAAGCTCCAGGCTATGATCTCTTAACAGAAGAACTATTAAAAAATCTACCAAGAAAAGCAATAGTTAAGAACACAAATTATTCGTTATAGAAGGCAACAAAAAAAATGAAGAGACCACTTATCCATTCTCCTCCTATCAAGTTGGAAAACGGCAACTGGGCTAGAAGTAACAGAAAGCAGAACGATTTGCAGATCATTTAGAAAGCACGTTCAAACCAACGACGCTGACACACCTAATAAATACTGCTTTTAGATTGCGATATGCTCCCAGACTCTGGAAAGTAGCCGAAGGCATTATGATCGCTAAACCAGGTAAACCTAATGAAGTGACATACTATCGACCAATATTACTCCTTCCGGTGATGTCAAAACTATTTAAAAAAACTTCTATTGGAAAGATTAAAACCAATAATAGAAAGAAAAAATCTTTACTAAATCATCAATTTGGTTTAAAAAATCAACTATAGATCAAATTCACAGAATAACGAATATAATAGAAAATACATTAGAAGAAAAGAAAGTCTTCTCTACAATCTTCTTGGACGTACCACAGGCGTTTGATAAATTCTGGCATGAGGGCTTAAACTATAAACTAAAACCGTTCATTCCTAAACAGTAATCAGAAATCTTTGAATCATACATTGCGAATAGATATTTCAGAGTAAAAAAGGAAGAAGTGTACACCGACTTAAGGAAGATCAAAGCTGGCGTGCCACAAGGGAGTGTCTTAGGTCCAGTCCTGTACCTATTGTATACGTGTGACAATCCAGAGCTAGAACAAAACACTGATACAGAGATTAAATGTCACATATTAACTTTACAAATAAAAAAATAGAAAATTTCCCAGTTAGAATAAAGGATACCCAAATTCCTTATGCAACATCAGCAACATACTTGGGCATCACCCTAGACGCGAAGCTGATCTGGAAAGTCCATGTCAAAAAGAAAAGAGGGGAGCTTGATATTAGATAAAAGAAATTGTATTGGCTGTTTGGAAAAAATTCAACATTATCCATTCATAATAAATGTCAAAACAAAGTACTGAGAAACATTTTTAATGCTCTTTGGTATATCCGTAACAGCAACTTCCACCAGGACCTGGGTATGGAAACTGTGACCGAAATAATCAAGAGAACAGCAGCAAGTCACGAACAAAGGCTGCATAGTCATTTGAATGTCGAGGCAATCCAGCTTCTTGACAACACTGAAGTAAAGAGAAGACTCATAAGGACAGAACCATTTGAGTTAGTGTAAATGTGTAAGAGTTTAGTGTAAAAAGCAGAGTATAGTGCTGTAATGTTATTGCAAGTTAGCTGTGGTGCATTAGTTGATAGATAAAATAAGAGTAAGCCATAGGGTATGACATTACGTAACTGTCCGCCAGTTGTAAAAACGTAGTAATTGGCGGAGAGTTAATCTCAGGATCTTGATGAATTTTATTTGTTTTGGTTTTCTCTATAATAGTTTACCACAATTTGACCAAAAAACAAATAATAAAATTGTTGTGACTTAAAAAAATCAAAAACAACGTCAATTTTTGAACAATTTTTCATATTTACGCCATTTTATTTTTTTTTTTAAGAATTTTCCAATTTTTCTGGTAAACTATCACGTAAAAGCACTCCTTTTTTAAAACCATTCTCGAATTTTATGTTTCAGATTTGCCGTTCCAGAGATTAACAGTCCGACATGGAGCAGGAACATTGAAAAAAAATTTGTAATCTTCAAAAGTTCTATGATAATATAAAAAAGTTTAATTGCCATATACAATAAGATATAAAAACATTGTTAAACTGTGTCATTTTTTAGCATTCTAGACGATAATAGTACCTTAAACATAACTGATATTAAATATCTTATCTTGTCTACTATCTAAAATCCACTGGTTTTACAGCAAAAGTAAAAACAAAAAAGTGGTATATAGCCAAGGGAGGCAAATTATCCTTTATTTATTTTATTTATTTATACAACGGGACAAAGATTTGGAATATTGCACAACTCCTTTATCTTTAATAGAGCGAGTAGCTCAAGCAACTGGTGTCTCAAAAATTACGGTAAAGAGGGTAATTAAGGTAGGTGAAAACAAATCATGAAGTTCAAAATTTGATTCATTCAAAAGAAGCATTTACAAGTCTAGTCCTAAGTCATTAGTTGATCCATTTGCTAACTGGTAAACTATATTCTTTTAGAAAAATTCTGAAGAAATTAGAATTTAGATAGAAAGAAGAGGAGGACAACAAAAAATGTTGGTGGAAAAAACTGACAAAACTCAATCTGAAAGTATATTTATCCATTAAGATTATAAGTCATTTTAAAGTACTTCACTTTTTTTTTAGATATAAATATTATAAATCAGACTAACATACATATCACCACAGTTTCAAAAGGTTGTAATGATGGACGTAACGTCCTTAAAATCTGTTGTATCAAAAGGTCAATGATTGATTATTTTAGATTGTAGTGGTAAAAATTGATTTGTTGAAAACCCCTCCCATTTTTACCTCTTCCCAAAACCTCTTCCAAATTTACCTTCCAATTCAGTTTTAGTAATGACAACGCTTCATATAATTAAGAACATCAGCTTCGAAAAAAAGACGTCATGAGAAAATGGTCGATAGAAAGGAATATCTTTTTCGAGAAAAGTGAAACAAATTCAAAGCTGTACAATTAGTCCAGAGTAATAAGATGTATAATATAATACTTATATTATACATCATTGAGAAGCATAGGGAGGTGTAGAATGTCATGGCTGCGCAACATGAGAGAGTGGTACGGCTGTACATCAAATGAACTTTTCACAGCAGCTGTCTCAAAAGTCCGAATAGCTATGATGATTGCCGACCTCTGCCGCGGAGATGGCACTTGAAGAAGAAGAAGACGTATACAAACATTTTCTAAACATTTCCTAGGTGAGATTTATTGAAACTTTTTATTTGTGAAAAATGTACTTTTTGGCATTTTTATTTTTATCATTGGCAAACAAGGTTTTGAAGGATGGCGTACCCATGTTTTATAGCATACAAAAAGGTTAAATGACGAATTGCAAAAAATTATAGAACTATTTGTTGTTTACATAAATGCAAAAAAAAAGTGAAAAATTTCGAACAAATCAATTTCTTTATAACTATTGAAAAATTGTTCTAATGCTTTGAAATGTTCCTCAAGTTGTGTCTCGTAATGCTTACTTAACATATTATCATAAAAATTTCGAAGCAATTTGTCGAATTGTTTAAATTTTATTCCATTTGTTTATCCCAGAATGATGTTTTTTGCAATAACACAAGACAAAAGAGAGAGTTCTTGAGAATTCCATGGGTACAAAGAGTTACTAATGTTGAGGTACTTCGTCGAATGTGTAAACAAAAAGAATTACTAAGAATAATCAAAGAGGGGAAAATGCAATACCTGCCAGAAGAAGAAGACAAAAATATGCAGTTATAAAATTTTTCGGTTACTGAAGAGTGTCTTCTTCGAAAATAGTAAAAAAAATTTAAGAAAAAAAATTTATTATTGAAAATCAATTTTACAAAAATATGTTAAGCTTTTACTTATAAATAAATGACTATAAGAATGACTTTTGTGTAATTGTTCGTAAAATAATTATTTTGACATATTCGAAAAGCGTATATTTTTGCACGAATAAAAATTTGACATAAAGCTGCTGCCAAGTTTTCAAAAAAAAAGGGACTAGTTTCGTCCCAAATTGTCCTGGGAAAACTTAATTTTTCCAAAATTTTTCCAAATAGGCAACAGTTAAAAAGTTATTCTAACTATTTTTAAGCAAAAAGTCCACATGCTTTGGCAAAATGATTTTGAAATATTTAAAATCGTTTATCTTCATTTTTTTAATAACATTTATTTATTCTACATCCGTAGAATTGTTGTACCTTCATATAGGCAACAGTTAAAAAGTTATTCTGACAGTTTTTAAGCAAAAAGTCCACATGCTTTGGCAAAATGATTTTGAAATATTTAAAATCGTTTATCTTCATTTTTTTTTAATAACATTTATTTATTTTATATCCGTAGAATTGCTGTACCTTCATCATTTTATGACTTTATTGTTTAAAAAAAAAAATAATTTGGGATAAACAAATAAAATAACTTTTAATCTATTTGACCGATCGATTTTAAATTTTGATTCTACTTTAAGCATTACAAGAACCAATATTCCATGTTATATGAAGCTTCTAAGTTCATTTTTAAAAAAGTTATTAAGTCTAGAAAAAACCCAAATTTCTGAATTATTTCTAAGCAACAAATAAAGGTAGAAACAATTAAAAACTACATTTTGAAAGTATTTTATGTGACATAAGTTTATTACTCTCAAATGATTCACTTGTTGCTAATAAATGAAAAAAGAGAAAATTGATCATATTTCGTAAAAAAAAATCGACTGCAGGAAATATATAGGAGACTGGCCGTTTCAGTGTCACAAACAGGGCACTTTTTGTTTATCTGGTCTATCCAGTTAACATGTATATATATATATATATATATATATATATATATATATATATATATATACACTTGCATTCATTGTCCTTTGTATTTACTGGTATGCCAGCATTCGTTGTCCTTGGTATTTACTGGTATGCCAACATTCAAGGTACGGACATCAATATTTCCACTTGTTCCAGGTCTGCCAGGCTATTGTTATGTATATACGAAAGGTAGGTAACTGAATGGAGCAAAACTGAATCACTTTCCTTTTCGAAAAATTAAATTAGTTTATTTAATGAAGAAGCTGATTCTTTATTGCACTAGTACAATAAAAAATAAATTGTTCTAGTTTGTATTCATTTGCTCTTAAATTATAAACAGATATGTTTTCTGTGTTGTACGAAACACCTATTTACTGTGACATGTTGTAAACCACCGGGAAAAGACAACAAGATATTTGGGTATTTATTTAGAAAAATTTTGCTCATGTTTGTTTGTGCCAAGTTCCTGCAGTTCTTGACATTATTTAATTCGTGGCATGTGCAGTCCACGGCACGCGTGAGTCTGGGTAGAGCATACATTAAATACTTTAATGCGGTTTAATGTTCTAACCTTAAGCATGTCACTATAATAGAAATTAGATTCGAAATAAATTTGGAAATTACCTCCTGGTGATCATCCGGGTCTTCTACGGAAACTTTATCGTTCCTTTCATCCAGAAAAACCATTCCTTGGACTGTCCCGTCTTGCTCAGATTCATCAATCATATCAGGACGAACCACTTCTGGTACTAGAACTTGTGCAATAGCTGTTTGATTCACCTAAAACAAATTTAGGCTTTAAAAATGAACAACAGAACAAGATTATTTTCAAAAAAATTTTATTAAATCCGCAGCAAAGGTTTCACGTACTTAAACATGTTTATATCTATTTATGTTTTACATCTAAACATTAGAATTGAAATGAAATGATTTACCATTACATAACAAAAAAATAATATTTTATTAATTTGACTTAATTTCTGTCTATCGATGCATCATTATTTAGCTAATAAAATCAACTACAGTTTCTATAAAATCAATAAAAAATTTACCTTTGTTGGAGGACTATGGGATGTTGTGTATTTGGACTTTTCCTCATCGGCTTCTTTCATATGCAAGAAATCGGAATACTGAAGCTCACCAGCCACTGTCGGACCAGCTTCAATTACAACAGGAGTTTTTCCTCTACCGTGTGGTAAAGCAATATGCAAGGTCATATGGGTGCGCGTATATGCTTCAAAACTGCATTCGCTACATTTAAATGGTATACATTTCCAATGGAATATTGCATGCTCATTTCTTTCTTGTTCAGATTTGTACCTGAAAATTGTAACAGATATTTATTCCGTTTATTTAACAGCTGAAAGTAAATGAAAGTAGAAATTTGAGAAAATAGTTCCTACTAAGCAAACAGGGGTTAACCACACTTTTTCGAAAAAATGAGATATTAATGACTAGACATTAAATACAGAGAGTGGCCAAATTATTAGGGACAATACATATATTTTTGTATTTTCTACTTTAAAAATGTTTTTTTTTGAAAAAAAAAATTGTATTCATATCTGTATTATATTTCGCAGTTCTTCTGGTATGATTATTAAAATTTATGATAAGCGGCAACACTGGTAGACTGCTTATGTACAAAATAATAATTGCTGTTGCAGATCAGTTGGTCATCGGCTGTTATCGCAGTGAGACAAAAAATATTTGCAAGTTAATTAAAATTTGTGTTTCTCCTAGGTTGTGTCAGATATATGTAACAGGTAAGTAATATTTTGTTATATAGTAATTTTTGCTGCCTTTAATTTGACACGAGTTTATTTAAAAACATTGTTCAAAATCAACATTATTTTTTTAGTATGGGAAAAATTGCTTGTCTCCAGAATAAATTGGAGAAATAAAAACGATATTACTGCACCCTATACTTTCCCTAAGAGTAATAGCAATTGCTGGAGGTATTTCAAAGTCTGTAGTAAATCGAATTAAAATAAAAATTTATTTAAACGGGGCATTGAAACCGGGACGTGTTGGAAAATGTGGCAGGAAAAGGATAACTACTCCTCGTAGTGACCGTAAAATCAGGGACATTTGTCTCAAAAATCGTAAAAAGAGTGTGGCACATCTGACTACTATGATAAATACCAAAGGAATTAATGTTTCCAGAAGAACAGTACGACGAAGACTGGCCGAAGAGAATCTGATAGGTCGCCGGCCTATGAAAAAACCACGGCTCACCAAAGCCATAAAGAGAAAGCGACTCCAATGCACCAAGCAGCACCGAAGTATGACCGTTGAGGACTGGAGTCGAGTAAGTACAACTTTTTATAACGAATGGAGTTCGTGAACAGCGAATATTTTCATTTGTTTAGGTATGCTTCTCCGACGAATCCACATTCCAGATTTTGGTGGACAAAAGTGTGTTCGTCCGACGACGTCCTGGGGAGCAGTTCCATCCAGAATGTATCGTGGAGAAGGTTAAACATCCGGTTAGTTAGCGTCATGGTTTGGTCTGTAATCTCGGCAAAGGGTATAGGATGCTTATACATTGTGGAAGGGACAATGAGACAGGACCAGTATAAGCGAATACTTAAAATTCGACTACTTCCCCAGCTCAAAGAATGGTTCCCTGGTCAAAAAAATTACATTTTTATGCACGATTTTGCACCATGCCACAAAGCCAGAAGCATTTCTGTCCAAAGAAAATATTAAAGTTCTGCCCTGGCCTTGAAACTCACCTGACATGAACTCCAGAGACAGTATGCGGGAGTTAACCAAACGGAAGACCGCCAAAGATGTTATTACAACTACTATTTACTTATTACAACGAAGCGGCAGTTGATTGAAGCTTTTATTAAATAATAGCATCATAATCCAAAATTAAAACACAATGCAGAAGTTTTTATTGAAACTTGTAGAAGCTGTAATTGCAGTAAAGGTCAAGCATCACCAAATATTGAAATTAGTGATTTTATATAACAATTTTTTTTGTGAAAAAAAAAAATAAATGGTTTCACTAACAGAACTCATTGTTTTTGTGATCTTAATATCACACTCTTTTATACAAAAAATATATGGAAGCCTTAAAGCCACAAACTTGCTAAAAAAATTTAGTTAAACTAGAAAGAACTAAGAAAGAAAGTTAAAGAACTAAAGAAATCATCTTACTGTCCCTAATAATTTGGCCACCATCTGTATACTATTTTACTGTACTAATACTACAGTGAATTTGTCTTATCCACTTCACAAATATTATATTTTGATATGGTATATATGACCATTGAACTATACCATACGCCATAGAACTGACAAAATCGCATCTTTCACACGCAGAAAGAAACAGGAAAGATGTTGAATTTAGATATACAAGCAGATATCATTATGGTATTCATTGTCGTTAGTACTTAGTGTACGGCTACAACTTAGTGTAGATAGCGAACACCCAGACATTTTTGATATTGAGTAAAAGTAAGATATGTAAAATTGATTAATTAGTCAGTTTGAAAAATATTCACCAAGAACTTAAGACGAAATTCGATGGTGGTATTGATATTCTTGGGAACACAGATGTATTATTTAATGATGCCGTTTAATTTTATGGTGAATTTTATTTCAATTCTTTTATATTTATAACCGATTTTTTTTTTTTTTTTTTTTTTTTTTTTTTTTTTTGTGTAAAAATTGCTGTAAATATTTTTCCAAAAACCTTGACGCTTATGGTTTTAATATGATTAAAAAGATTTGTCTCCGATAATTATTACATTTATTAAAAATTACGATAAAATAACTCATACAGAATAACTCAACAAGACAAAGAATACAAAAAAGAAGAAACAACGAAAGATATAGACATAAAAACTAATAACAGATAATTAACAAAATAATTCGAATAGTTGTAAAACAAAAAGAAGAAAAAATTTAGTTTGTATTCGATTTACACCGTGTTAGAAAAATCAATTATTTTTATGAATTTTTATAATCACCTAAACGCTACGGCTAAAACAGATCGTTGCTTATGTTCCTATTGTACAGAATGTTGAACTTTGGTTGTAACTATTTAAATATCCTGTATAACACATAACAACTTGAAATTCTTGTAACTAGGAAGTAAAGCAGATTTTAAATTTAATCTTAAAATCTTTACATGTAACCTATTTTCAAGGTTTTTTGGTATCTCGTATAAAAACAGATAAAATGGACTTGTGTAACAAAAGTAGATCACCCTAAATACTACAAAAAATGTTTACAGCAGATGCAAGGTTTTAATTTTTTAATAATAGTTTATAAATAAAAAGTATATATTACATACTGAACAAACTACTTACCATTTGTTACAATATCTGCATAATACTTTGTGTGGTGTACTATTTCCTGAAACTTCTTTAGGAGCCGCCAGGCTTCGAACAATTATATTACACTGCATTCTGATTAAATTTTGTAACCATATTTCTAATCTTGGATTTTTCGGTAATGAAATTATATTATTAATATCGAATGTTTGTTGGTGCTGGAGTACGTGTTTATACATATATTTGTATGTAACACTCACATCAGAACATATTCTGCAAGCGTATCTGTTAATTTCTTTCTCTTTAAACATATGGAAAATAAAATCAGATATACGTTTTGATTTAAATTTGTTGCATTTGGGACACTTAAGTTGTTTTAAGAATGGAAGTCCGAAGCTGCCGAATGTTTCCAGCAAACTATGTTCACTAAACTCGTCATCTATTTTAGAATTATCTGCATTAGAATGTTCATCAATACTAATCTTTTTGAATTCTGACGAATCTATTGTTTTCCTTCTGTATGCTGTTATCGATTGTGGCCTAACAGGTGACTCGTCATCATCGATTATAATAACATCATCATCTAAGTCCGTTTTTATTAACTGGTTTATTTCTTCAATCAACTCGTCAGCGTCAGCTTTTAGAGACGGGACCGGTTTAACAGGACTAGCTAATTCCATTTGAGTTATTTTCTTCGTAGGCGTAACTGCAGAACCTTTAGTTGCCTTCTTTAAGGTCTTTGTAGGTACAGGTGTAGATTCGTCAAACAGTATACCCCTATAAAATCACATATAAAGTATTATTGCGATAAAACATATGATTGAATAGTAAAGAACTACTTTAGTAAGAAATAAAACTGGTATATTTGTTTAAATTATTAGTGCTAAGGACTATAAAATAAAGAGCTAACGAGCTATAGAAGAAATGAAAAAAGGGATGATCTGTAAGACCATCGGATGTATTTTTAATGTTAAGTGTTTTTAATGAAATAGGCCTTATATTCCACAGTCAAAGACTTGACACCATAAAGTAAGACCAAGAACACGTAGCAGCGAAGTAGGCGGATCCACAATGCCAATTTTAGGACTGAGTTACATAATACCTTGGACATCCTCCTAAAAGCGGCTCTGACCTGCTTAATTCTAGATCAAATTTTAACGTGACTCTCTGCGTAACAGTTTAACTCATATTAAAGTATTTTGTTTTTGCGTTCAGATCCAGACCTATTATCAGACTATATACAAAACTATTATTCGACCAAGAGTATTTTATGGATCAGAGACATGGATGATGACAGAAAATACAAAAAGGAAGTTGGAAAGAAAAATCCTAAAGAAGATATTTGGACATATTAACGAAAACGGCGTATGGAGCGCCGATCTTAGAATTCGTTAAAATTCACACTTCAATGGGCTGGTAATGTAGTAAGACTGGAGGCCGAAAGATTGCCGAAAAGAGCCCTAGATAGTAAAATGCAGGGCGCAACGCCAAGAGGAAGGCCACTTCTGTGAGAACTTGCAGAAGATGACTTAACTATCAAGGGAAAGGCAAGATCGAAGGCGTAGTTTGTGAAAAAAGGGAAACTGGATCAATTTAAGTCCTGCTGAAATAACAAGATGTAACCCAGAAGGACAAGATATGACCTTCAGTAAGGCTAAGAAAAGATAGGATTAAAAATTCCCGAAAATTTCTATACACCTTTTGGAAGGAAGAAGAAAAGCTGTGAGATCTCAAAATCTTCTAACAGAGACTTTGATGAAAAGACCACTGGAGAAATGTCTTGAATTCAAATGATAAATAGATTTTGGTACAGGGGTACTGATAAAAATTTGGTATGAAGGAAAATTTGACTTCAGTTCACTTACTACAAACAGTAACTAATGCAGTCACATGAAGGGGGTTTGTGGTTTGTTTGTGTTTAAATGACTGCGGACACTAAATCCATTCGCCAATCTTACAAAGGGGGTTTAAGGAATTGTTTTAGCATATCAGGGAACAGTAAAACTTAATACTTATGGAAGATATGATACAGTAAATATAAAGGGATGTTACAAGCGTGTTTGTTCAGATAACTGCAAAAAATTTCAAGTAGTTAGGCTTTAAAAAGACCAGATTGCTGAAAATGGATAGATGAAGTTGAAAAACTAAGATATTTGAGGCTGTAATTAAAGTGTGAATTCGAGATAATACAATCAAAGAAAATGGCATAAAAATAGTTAATTATATGCCAAAACGAGTTCAAACTTTAATAAAAGCCAAAACAAGATATATCCCTTATTGAATAATAAACAATATTTCACGTAAATATCCACACAACTGAACTGTTCAGTTATTCACACAATAATAACATAATAATAATAAGATAACCACTAAGAATTCATCCATAAGTTAAGTTGTGAGTCACATATATACATGTAAATATAAATATATACCACCAACTAACTAGATAAATATTCTTACAATTAAATATTTCTAGAAACTTACCTAATATGTCTAACCCTTGGTCGGTCTCGTTGCCACAATGGAGTAGTATCAAATACATCTGTATCTTTGTCATCTTTATTTTCTTCTTCGATCTTACAATACACTTGTATAATGTTAACTTCTTGATTCGAATGGTGCTCCTTAAAATGTCCTGGGAAGGTAATCAAGTCATTGGTCTTATATATACAAAGAGCGCATTTAAATTGAGAATCAATGTCATGCTTTTCTAAGACATGATTTTGAATACCTTCTTGTGTTACCGTTTTGGCTTTACACATGCAACATCTCCAAGGTTTACTAAACTTGGAGGAAATCGGAGTAGAGGTAGGATGCTGATTCGCTTCATCTTCTATATCTTTCGGTTCTGAATCTAACCATCTTAGAGTAATAACTTTCATTGGAAGATCATCGTGATATTCTGTAATATGTCTTTCAACTTTATGTTTAAGGTTATGCACAAAATCGCAGTACCAGCATTTATAAAGTTGTAAACTATGTAGTTTAAGATGCTTAATTATATTATCTGCATCGGCGTTGTTTAAGTTCATTTTACAATGCACGCAGGTAAATTTAACTTCTTCACTATGAAGTGCTATAAGATGATGGCGAAGATTACCTTCCTCTGGACAAATGTAATTACAACCCTTGGCACAACAAGTATACCGTGAGCTTGATGGCACAAAATCCGGAAAGTTATTATCGTCTACAAAAATTAAATCTATTATTTCTTAACTTCATTAACGTTTATTTTTATGTAATATCAACATTTTAACTTCAATTTTGATTTTATTTTCAATAAACTTTGCTATAATGTGACTTAATTGAGATTACACAATTTTCTTCAGGAGCATTTTCTTGAACAGAAACTCAATACTAAACGGATCTGATAAAGTCTCAGACTCGCCCAGTAATTGCAACACTACTCGCATGAATTGTCTTTTAAATACCTGTTTGAGGCACAAAAAATGAACAAGACCACGTTGCTTAAAGTGGGGTGAGACTTGGGAGTGGTTTTTTTTTAATTTTCACTAGTAAACAAAATAAAACAGCATTGGGGAGAAAGAAAATAAAAGAATACAAGGTGATAGCTACTAGAGCTAAACCAGAAATATTAACTAAACTAAACAAAAAAATAAATGATAATCGAATTACCAAAAGGGCGCCACCGAATGTTTTTCTTTATAGCTTCTGGAAAATTGAAAAAAAAGAAGACGGGATATAATAAAAATAAATTAAATTATTAACGAGATAATAACAATGTTATCTAAAATATAGATCGGATCGGTCGATCGGATAGCCAAGCGGGCTGGGCGGTTGGCTTCTCATTCGCCTCAATGCGAGAGATGTCAGTTCAAATCCCCAGCTCGGTGTACAGAAAACAAAAAGGCTAACGCAGCAGTTTAAAATTCTGAATGAATCTGCGGCTTAGTCTAGAATATGCTGGTATCTGATCGGCCTATGGTGGAGCAGTACGGCAAGAGGAAAGGGCTTGTGGCTCAGTGATACTCCTCCATAGATCCCTACCGGAAGGGTATGTGCCGCCTAAATACCGGGTATAAAATATGATTGTATATTTAACCAAATAAAAATAAACAAAATAAATTGTGTTGATACGTCGATTGCGTGGTTTCAAAATCTTCTACAGGGTTAATAAAAGTTACTGCTTTCTGAATTAAATTAAATTTAAAAAATTAAAGTAATATGAAGCGTTATAAAGATCGGCGTATAAAGATGCGTGTGCAATTGGTAATGCCTTGAGGATATCATGATAACGTGTTGGCCAGATCTTATTCCAGGAAATGACCTTAAAAAAGCTTCTCGCAAGATAAAATTCGCGCGTGCTCACTGTGAATCACAAAATGCACTTTGTGCGAAATGTTTCGCGTGTTTAGAGAAAAACAAAAGTGAGTTTTACGTCGATCCGTAATAATGAAATATGGATTACATGGTCATTGTCCCTACTAAACACCCGAAACTAAACAACGGTATAAGAAATCAGGTAACTTAACATCAGGAACAAAACCGAAGATCTTCCTTGCTGGTAAGCGGTTTTCATCCAAAACAGAAGAAGCATTACTGGATTAAACATATCAATTTAACAAGAGATTATTTTGAAAATTAGTCAAAGATTCATAGATTGTAAGACAAGCTCTAATGATTCAGTGAACGTCCAGTATAAGGCAAAAAAATTCAAATTGTGTCTTCGAATGCTTATTAAATAATATTAATACATGTTATATTATATGCGTCCGCGCGCAAATATTGATTTGATTTGTGATTGATTGTTTGGATTTGAGTGGTGGATATTTTTCTATTTAACTGCTTAACAGTCCCAAAGTGCGACGGAGAAAACTGACACAAAGAAGTTCCTGCATATATGTCTAATGTGATCTTCTCATTGATCATTTGTGGTGGATAAACTCAACAGATAACTGTAATAACAATCATAGATACTTACAAAGACCTAGGTTTTTGAGCTTTAGAACAGATATTTAAATTTTAATTTAAAAAATAAATAATTTCCTAAAAATGAAGTTATCGTAGCAAAGATTATTAAAATTAAATCGAAAGTATATTTAAATTTCGGATACCTCAAGGTTGTTTTGCTTAAACTTTACGTTAACATATACACATTGAGGTTCCAAACTTAAACTACTGCAAATAACTAAAACTAGAGAAGATGTACATATAGTAATTACCTTTTTTGTCAGGTTTAGTGCCACCCATCCTCGTGCTTGATGTGTGAGAACTAGAAGCCAAATTTACCATTTTGTCAAACATCTTTTCATTCTTTCCTAAGCACGGTACTGGATTAACTGGAGCGGTATCTGGCACCGATATTTCCTGCGAATGGAACTGCAGGTGCCTAATCATATTAGTTCTAACTTTTGTAGTATATGAACAAGTTCCACACCTTAAAATAATATATCTGATAAAAAAGATGCCAACAATTATTGAAAATCCATTAAAGTATTCTCTTCAAATCGATCTTGACTTAACATTGATAGGTAAATAACTTTATTTTAATTTTTAAATATTAATGTTCTTTAAATGTTAATTTTATTGATATGTAACCTACGCAGCCAAAATTTATAATTCATTTTATGCGTGGATCTTTAAGATAAAACAAAAAATATAATTCCAAACGGTAATATGTATAAAAGACATTGAAATACAGGAACTTGTCCCCAGCAGCATCTCCAAGAAGTGAAGGTGGGAAGTTATGTTTGATTGTTATTACGATAGATTTCTGAAAAATATTGAACGCGTATTTTTCAGTGTTTTTTAAATGATGTAAATTTTCCAAAATATTCGATTGTACCGCTTCTTTTCTCACACTATGTATATATAGATAAAATAATTAGAAAAGTACATTAAAGGCAAATTTTATAATTTGAGAACAATATTCTAAGGAACACGATTCTATACGAATGTGTAATGACTATTAACAAAAATGAAACAAAATTTATGATAATAGGAGATAAATAGGAGAACTAAGATACACAAATCGAATTAATAGAAACAGAACAACGAAGAATGTTTTAATAAAATATAATGAAAACAGGATCTGGAGCTCAACGATGAGATACAAAACACTCTAAATCTCTATCATGCAATGAATAATAACAAATTTATAAATAGGAAAGGAAACTGAAAGGAATTTCAAGAAAACCAAATTATATATAATATAGATTTTAGCGATTGTTTTTTTGTTTTATAATTTACAACGATATTAACGACAATTCTGTATGTTGTGTGATGTTGATACATATCGTACATACCTCAGATCTGAGCTAAATATGGACCGCATTGGAATTTTATTAATATCATCAGGGTTGTACACATTTTCTGCTGTTGAAATTGGCGAAGAAGGTTCAGACGAAAGATTTTCTTGTGCTGGTGGATCAGCTATCAATAACTTTGGTTTAATAATGTATTCTTCCCCATTTGAAGCAATAGTCGAATTCAAAACAGTTTGTGTAGTCTGATTTATGTTATGCCGATGTTTCATATGGCCCCTAATTAAAACAAATAACACATTAGTTCACATCCATTTCTATTTGGTATAAACGATTAGTTCAAATGAGTAAAAAACACCTTGTAAAAGGTTCTTTGTAAAACTATGCATTACTAAGTATGTATAAGAGGTAGACATAGGTGACTTCTTGTCCCAGTTCCTGATCTGATAATGTCTGTTTCGTTTTCGTAGTGCCGATTTCGCGGAAAAGTGCACACGTCCCAAAAAGAACGGTACCTGTAACTGCCGCTTGTTTTAAATGTCTCATTTGTGATTCGACGTTCTGTTCAAACGCAACGAACAAACGTTTGTGTAGTGTGTATTGGTATTAATACCATTATTAGTGTTTATTATTGTTTATTTTTTGCCAAAAATTCCTTTGAATGTTGTTGAAACGGAACGAATTGTTGCGCTTGTGGAAGACGATGTGGCGGAAATACACTATTCAATTAGGTTGAACAATGTGGATGATTCCGTTACATTGTTCAATCAAATTGAAAAGCATACATACACACGCTTCAATTTATCTTCATTCAATTCGGTTGAACAATGTGGATGATTCGAAACGTACGTACGGAACTTATTATATCACAAGTCAAAATAAAAAGATTTTAACTCGATGAAATAAACGGTTGAATCGAACCGTTGATTGAATAACCCAAATAGATCCGCAACGCTTATGGAGAGAAACGTGCAACCCAAAAAATTAAAATTTCATCAAGAATCAGCGACTCTAGTGGATATTACGGGAAACAACTAGTTACGAATTTGCGCTCATACGAGAATGATCGTAGAAAGAGGTGCCGTTACCTCCCCTATCGTGCCCTTCCACAACCAATTTATGGCAGTACTTACGAAGTGTAGTGAGTCAGAGAACTGGTCATCACCCCAGCGTTATCTCTGATTTCTAAGAAATATGTCTGTGAAGCATTTAGCACTTCGCCATTTACCTTTGAATTTATTTTGTCGATATTATATTTTGTATACAGATACGATAAAGATCGACTGCAATGAAAATTATTTGATATGTAATTTAGAATGTTAATAATTATAAAATCAAGGGGCGCCCGATCTAATTTTGTTGTGATTATAATTAATTAATAATTTAATAATAACTTATTTTGTAAAGAAAATTTTGCGGACAGATATTATTTTAGATTCATTCAAAACAAAAAAGTGCTTTTTTAATTTTTGTTCTTAAGCTGATTGTTTTCAAGTTATAAACAATTTAAAACAAAAAATAACGAGAGATGATGATCTTCAAGGCTTAGAATCATTAAGTTTCACTTCATTTTTGAAATTATGAAGTACCTAAGTTCAAGCTCAACATTATTTTATCAGGTCTTGATAAGTATTTTGGACTTTCATTTTAAATCATTGTTTTTTAATTATTAATGTAGCCCAGCCCGATCGCCTGTCTTCCCACAAAGAACCTTCCTCATTAACAATTAAAAAATATTTGCAAAAATTAAAAACATGCATAATATGGCAAACATTCTTACAATAAATTTCGCAAGTTTGTACTTGATGATTACAAAATTAATATTTTTGCTTGTGTTTTGAGCCTTGAAAATCGAAATTTTTCGTTTTTTCTTTTTAGTTTTAAATTATTTAAAACTCGAAAACGATCAACTTCAGAGAAAAATTACAAAAGACATTTTTTTGTTTCGAATGATAAAAATAAAATAAAATAATATCTACCCAAGCCGAATTTTTATTATACTTCGAATCTCACCTGGGTGGAGAAATTTTCGTTTATTAAAAATTAATGAATGAAATACGTTACAAAAACTTTTAAAAACATTGTATTTTTTTACTGAAAAACCAAAAACTACATTCAACACTTTTACAGTTAAGATATACAGTAAAACCTCCCTTAAGCGAAACGTTTTTAACCGAATCATCGTTTGACCGAAACGCTGACAGTTTCAATAATTTCGTCAATAAAAAGTAAATTTTTATCGCAAAATGTAAATTTCATCAATTTCACTCACCGATTGATGCATATGTGTGTTGGGAAATCAAAAAACCAAGAGCTCTAAAAGATATTTGAGAAAAAGCACTTCCAGTTTTTTATAAAAGCCAAAAAAGCTCATGGATGTCGACCACTATATTTTCAGAATGGTTCGAAAATGAATTAGTCCCAAGCGTAAAATCCTTTTTAAAATAAAAAAACCTTCCTATCAAAGCATTGTGAAGAATTTTTTTTACAGGTATATTTAAATTTTAATTAGGCACTGATTTTGTGGTATATACTGTTAAACACGTTCTATAAAATGTGCTATTTTAATAATATCAAAACAACGAAGAACTAGTCAGAAACCTCAACAGATAGGCTATTGATTATGTTCAAAATAAAAGAGCTAAAGGAACTACAACGTTCAAGGGGTTTTATTGTTTCATATGGTCAATGGACCCCTAAATATGAAAAAACCGCGGAGTGCTACCATTAAAATGGGAGCATTTTTGAGAAAAATGTGAATTAACCGCTATGCACTAGGGTGCATAGGGTAAGTTCTATGCACTTTTCGTACATTTGTTTTTCATTTTCCATTTGTTTCTATATTCAGCTGCTCTAAGAGCGTTTCCAGTTGAATTTTTAATTTGGTCGGACCATCTAGCTGGTTATCATCCTGCGTTTCCAGAAACAATTAATCTCTTCCAGCTATCGTCACCTCTGCGAATCACCTAGCCAAAGAATACATTCGTACATACACATCTACAGAAAAATTGTTCCAAATTAAATTTACTATCGAAATATTACTTTTTAAAGTCAAAAATATATTTTTTTATAAAAATATATTAAAAAAAAAAACACAAAAGAAAGCAATTTTGTTTTTGTCTCATAACTTTTTTCAGGGAATATAGGTAGATACATACATATAGGCATTGCTTCACAAAAAAAAGGTCCATCCATCCTCTTTAAAATGACGTCTGGTAGAAGACATTAGGATTTATAGTTTCCAAAATATGATTTTTCAAAGTTCGCCACTCACAGCATTTTTGGTCCATTTTCCTTATTATTTCGCAAACATTGTTCGACTATTTTTAAGCAAGATATGGTATTTTAAAGTTGTATACTTTTAACGATTTTTGATATTTTTACTAGATATTATTTTTTAGATTTCTCAAGCCAACGGCTTCGGGCGGATGAGCTGATAAGTGAAAGGGCACCTTTTTGTCCTGAGATTATTACATCGGTCTCGAAGGCATAAAGATGCAGAAGGCAACGAGGAACCACTGCATTAAAGACTCGGAGAGTACCCCTAGTACAATTAACATGGCTACGACAAATCATAGAAACCATATTACTGATCATGGAATTCGGATACCAAGATCCGGCAGAGAAGGACAATCACAAGACGGCAAGGCCTTCTCGGTCGCCAGCAGAAGAAATCCTTGCCATTATAATGGAAAGATAAACCTCACGATCTGCACATGGAATGTTAAAACATTATATGAGGCAGGCAAGACTCATAATGCAATCAAGGAGATGGATAGACTATCAATAGACATAATGGGAATAAATGAGATGAGATGGCCGAACTCTGGGCAATGTAAAATTAATGATCATCATATCTATAACTCAGGTAAGCCTAATGGAAGACACGAAAATGGGGTAGGTATAATCTTAAATCAAGAAACTGCCAGACATGTTAAAAACTTTGTACCTATATCGGAAAGAATACTCCTCCTTCAACTTAATACCTACCCAATTACATCTAACATTATTCAGGTATATGCCCCTACAGCTGACAAACCGGACGAGATAAGTGAAGCATTTTATAACGAACTAACGAACACCTTAAAACGCCTCCCCGGAAAGGATTTAACTTTGATTATGGGTGATCTAAATGCCAAAATTGGTAGGGGACAATCGGGAGAATTCATAGGACAATTTGGACTTGGAGAAAGAAATGAGCGAGGAGACCGACTGGGTGAATTTGTAGCAGAAGAAGAGTTTGTGATTACTAACACTTACTTCAAACTCCCACACAGAAGATTATACACATGGAAATCACCTCAAGATACTCCAGGCCGCATAGTGAGAAATCAAATAGATTACATTATGATTAATAAAAGATTTCGGAACAGCATAACATCAGTCAAGACATATCCAGGAGCTGATATCAAATCAGACCATAACCCACTCATTGGCAAAATTAGGCTCAGGCTAAAGGTCGATTCAGACACATCAGTCACGTCTCGTCACAGTCCTGGCGATGAACCGAACAATCCGTCATACAAAATATTCTTTAATAGAAATATGGCGCCGGCATGCGGCATTCACATTCATCAGTTGACGAACAGTTTGCCAGCTGTCAGATAGTTGATAGTTCTGTGATCAAACAGGACCGGTTCGGCGCCGAGACTGTGACGGGACTGATGTATCTGAATCGACCTTTAAGAGGGTTAGACGTAGTGTCAATCCAAAATTGGACATGAAGCTATTAAAAGACCAACACACAGAACATAGTGTAAAGCGGTATAAGTATAAAGAACAATTTAAATACCGTTATTCAATCGGATGTAATGGACCAGGAGCTAGAAAATTACATACAGTTTCAAAAGACATACGAGAGAAATTTCTCAAACCACCAAAAATTAAGAAGAAATCGTGGATGACAAATGAGATTCTAGATATGATGGAAGGGAGGCGAAAGTTCAAAGATCAAGACATGTCATTATACAAAAGAATCGATAAAAATATCAAAAAAGCTATTAGAATAGCTAAGGATACACATCTAAGAAAACAGTGTTCGGAAATACAGCAATTGCAACATAAACACGATACATTTAATATACACAAAAAAGTTAAAGAAGCCGCAGGCTTATACAAACCTCATGATACTATAAACTACAGATAAACCCACGCGCACGCGATCAGTCGTGTGACGTCACTTGGCGACAAATGTCACCAGAAATGTTCTGTGTTGTATGGAGTTTTGTCAGATTTAGTCAAGGTTAGTAGATATTTAAGTATCTACTTAAATATCTACTAACCTTAAGATTTAGTTTTGTTTTATCGTTTATCTTGTACGTTGACATCGGTTTACTGGGTAAACCATCTTTCCGAAGGAGGTTTACTTAAACCATATCCAGATTTTCTAATTAAATGTAATGAACTGGACCATATTTTTAACAATTTTAACAAAGGGTCATTAAAATTAACCAAGAATTATTTAAAATCGCTAATGGATTTAGCTGTGTTCAGATGTAATGTTAGTAAAGGTGTAAATTATATTTTAAAATTAGAAAATTGAATAGATATATTAAAGAAACATCCAAAGTTAAGAAGAAGAAAATAATAAAAATTGTAAAATAAATTGTTAAATAAACTTGTAAATTATTACAGCGTAGTTTATTTTATCAGTTGTATTAAATTTTTATTTTAATAAATCAATCCATTGTATATAAATTTCCATTTGCAAAAGGATGTTTAGTTCTTACTTCTTTATATAATTTTAGTTTACATTGCTAGGCTAACAGAAATGTATATATAACATATTTTTAAGATTTAATTGCAGATATTTTACCTAACATCACTTAATATTCTAAATATTTAAATAAAAACCCCTTTCTTTCCATATATGTTTTACCGACTATGATGATAAAAGGTTGGTGATAAAAGTGACTTTTATCACCAATTGACGTCATGCGCGTCGATGTACAAAATTCGATTGCGAAGTGGGTTTATCTTGGAAGTCTTAGTATCATGTACAAACCTAGAAGAGTTGGGTGTTTGGCAGATAACCAAGGCAAACAACTGTTAACCGTGGAAGAAAAACTAGACACTTGGAAGAATTATGTGGAAGTAACCTTTGCAGATGAAAGGCAGACTACCATTGAAGACACTGAATGCCAAACAGGACCCTCGATTACCATTGAAGAAGTCACGTCAGCTATTAAAAGAACTAAATATGGTAAAGCGGTAGGGCCTGACGAGTTTTGTGCAGAATTCCTTAAACTTATGGATGAACAGGGAATAAAATGGATATCAACTGTATTCAACAACATATACGTAACTGGAAAAATACCCCAAAGCTGGTTAAAGTCGACCTTCGTGACCATACCAAAAAAAGTAAATGCCAAGACATGCGAAGACTACAGAACAATTAGCCTAATGAGCCACTTACTTAAAACGTTCTTGAAAGTGATACACGGCAGAATATATAAAAAATGCGAAGAACAAGTATCATGGACGTAGTTTGGATTCCGCGATTCCTTAGGCATCCGAGAGGTTCTATTCACTGTCCAAGTGCTTATGCAAAGATGCAGGGATGTTAACTGCGATGTGTATATTTGTTTTATCGACTACAAAAAGGCATTTGATAGAGTAAAACATGATAAACTTACAAACAGCCAATATTAAAGTGGATGATCAATTGGCAGAGGCAGTCTCCATAGATAGAGGAGTGAGGCAAGGATGCATTCTGTCCCCGGTGTTATTTAATATATACTCTGAATATATCTTCGAGAAAGCGCTGGGAGAACTACAAGAAGGCGTATTAGTCAACGGAATGCGTCTAAACAACATTAGATATGCCGACGACGCAGTAGTTTTTGCATATATCACATATATGCATATCACATATATCACATATAAGTAGAGAACACGGACTTGATCTTAATACGAAGAAAACAAAGTACATGGTAGTCAGTAAGCGCGAAATATTAAATACACAGCTTTTGGTTAACCAACATCCAATTGACAGAGTGGACAGCTACACATACCTTGGTACCAACATTAACAGCTAATGGGATGACTCCAGTGAAATAAAACAACGCATAGGAAAAGCGAGATCAGCGTTCATAATGATGAAGTCTCTTTTCAGAAGTCACGATTTACCACTTGCTACCAAAATCTCTCTCATTAGATGCTATGTATTTTCTACCTTATTATACGGAGTAGAGGCCTGGACACTTTCCGAAGCTTCCTTAAGAAAACTCGAGGCATTCGAGATGTGTTACAGACGTATCTTAAGAATTTCATGGGTGGATCGTGTGACTAATGTTAACGTCCTACGTAGAATAGGCAAGGAATGCGAGATTATTAACACCATCAAAGAGCGCAAACGAGAATATCTTGGCCATGTTATGAGGAATGAACAGAGATACGGCTTGTTGCAACTCATTCTTCAGGGCAAGGTATTTGGAAAGAGAAGACCAGGGAGAAGAAGAATATCTTGGCTTTAAAACCTGAGAAAGTGGTTTAATACATCGACAACCGGACTATTCAGAATAGCAGCAAGCAAAGTTAGGATAGCCATGTTGATCGCCAACATCCGGAACGGATAGGCACCGTAAGAAGAAGATTTCTCATAACTTTTTTTCTGGTGCCTTCAAGTACATTATATATATATATATATATATATATATATATATATATATATATATATATATATATATATATATATATATGTATATGTATATATATATTATATACATTGCTGAATAAAAAATTTTGAGTCAGGTATATACCCAAAGGTACCAGAAAAAAAGTTTAATGCGAATTTTAAAAAGTAATCATAAAAAAATATCAAGAATCTTTAAAAGTATAAACTGAAAAACCATAAATTGCTTAAAAATAGTCGTACAACCTCGTACAATAGAATACAACCGTAACGGTAATTGACTTCTCTTCCTATAAAATGTACCATTTTATCTACCTAAAAGTTCGTAGAAAAAAGTTACAGAACAATGTTATACAAATTTCAAAATGCAGAGTTTGAATGTATGATTGTATTTAGGAATTAAAGTGGGGAAGCAATATTTACGTTGAGAATTAAGGGGAGGTAATATGAAGAGAAGAAATCTTTTATGTTGAACCGTAGTGTAATTTTTCTCTCTCGAACATAGATGGCGACACGGTTTTTGAGAACAGAATAGTTGCTACGTTTAATTTGTGTACGGCTGCAGATCTATTTGGATTATTCAATCAACGATCGAACTCAATCGAAAAAACTCAATCGTATAGACGAGTCAATATGGATGAATTATCCCAGTTGTACAACGAAGTTGAACGAAAGTAGAAATTATCTCAACTCATTTCAACGTTCAATTTTGTAGAACACTTTTATTGAATTGTAAAATACATGGTTCATTTTGGTTGAATCATCCACATTGTTCAACCGAATTGAATGGTGTATTTCCGCCTTTACACTCAACGGCAAGTCACAAGAACTGTTGGCGTAAGCCTTTCTACGGTTCAACGAGTGCTTCAACACTTTCAGGAGACGGGTTTGCTAACCAGACGATCTGGCTCTGGACGAAAAGAAGGATCACGGCACGAGATGACCGTTTCTTTGTGTTTCAGGCTTTACGAAACCGGACCTCAACTGCGGTTATGCATCGAAATCGTCTACAGGAAGTACGAAATCGCAATGTTAGCGTTGAAACAGTCAGGAGAATACTTCATTTTTCTGGACTATCTTCTCGGGTAATGGCTACAGGACCACCATTTCGCCTGGCGTATCGAGTTGCACGACAAGCTTTGGCTCGACAATACGCGCATTGGGGAATTAATGATTAGAGCAAAGTGTTATTCTCAGATGAATCCCGTTTCTACCTAACTGGATACGAAGGACGTGTAACGAGTTTGGAGGAGAACCGGTGAACGATTTTCACAAGATTGTGTTCCAAGAATGCCATGTGGTGGAGGCTCGGACATGGCTTGGGGAGGTGTATCTTCCGACGTTCGCACAGAATTACCCTTAATCGAAAATGGGCCCTTAACTGCACGAAGGTACATTACGGAGATTCTGGAAGCAAATGTTATGCCTACCATGGCAGTGATTGGAGAAGACGCCGTTTTAATGCAGGACAAGCGCGACTGCACGTTGCCAGGATCAGTATGCAATATTTGGACGAGGTTGGCATTACGAGGTTGCCCTGGCCAGTTAGGTCTCCGAACCTGGATCATATACACATCATATATATTCAAACCCATACACCTCCTCCTAACAGTTCACAGGAGCTTAAGGATTTATTAGTGAGAGAGTGGAATAATATACTATAACATGATATCCGTAGAAAAATTGATATGCCCCATCGTCTGCAAGAGGTTATTAGAGCAAGGGGAGGCAATACACGATATCAGTCATTGAAATTTCACTGATGTTTTACCACGTTCTGTATTTTCCATTTTTTTTTTTTTCGTATGTATCGTTTTATCAACAACTTGCGTTTGTTTTCTGTTTTTTCAATAAAAACAATAAAAACCGTTTTTTTCTTTCAAAACAAACATTCTGCACCAGAGGCAAAAATATTTAAAAATCTTGAAATTTTCAAGGCGACCCGGATTTTATGATCGCGAGTGTATATTTTAAATAGAGTTGGAGATAAGCAACCGAAGATATTTGTCATACCACTATTTACTAATAATTTATTGGCTACTTCAAATACGTGTTTGTCGCAACAAAGCACTTTTATAATTGATTATAATCTTATTATAATCAACAATAACTGATATTTAAAACTTATATTGGACATTAGCTGATAAGTATAAATAAAAACTTATGTTAGTTCGAGTCATTCTAGATCCACCTCTATACTTACTTACACTTTGAAATAAAACCTGTTCTCCAGTGAGTAACTTACTAAATATAAAGAATAAATTAATAATTACCTTCCTTGTCTAAAAGTAGGAAACTTGTTTCCACAAAGAGAACACGAATATCGAAGAATGCCATGACACTGTATATGATCACAAAGAATATTGGAATTTCTAAAAGATTTCTTACAATGAACGCATACAAATGGCTTGTTAGAATTATCCTTATCCTTACACGACACTGATTTAGCTATGTGTTTCTTGAAGTCATTTAAGTTAGAACAAGAGAACTCACAAGCTGCACATCTGAATAATTGGTAACCGAGAAGACCAAATTTCTTTTTTGATTTGTCACTTTCGTCTTCCGAACTATCCCCAAGGTTCTGGGAATTAACAGATTCTCCTAATTCCAAAGGATCGACATCGCACTCTGTCGATTTCTCTCCTTGCGTTTCTCCACTGAAACTAATTGGTTCTAATGAAGTTTCAGGCATTGACGCGGCTGAAGTTTTCTGACTTGATGTTGGGGATTCTTTAATAACGATATTTTGTAATGGTTGATCACTTGAATCTGTAGGCAACGGCATCTCTATCATCGTGTCAATATCTAGAGGATCTGTTAATGGCGTTGAAGATTTGGATGGTGTCTGTAAAGTATAATATATTTAAATTATAAATAAAACTGACAAATTCGACTTACTGATAATTAGTTCAATAGTTTTTTTATTTTAAAATTACCGGAAAACTTAAAAATTTAACGACACATTTGAAATTGTATTATGCAAAATAGACTGGTTCAAGGGTAGTTGCTAGTCTTTCTTCGCCATTTACTATTTTGCCCGGTGGCGACTAGGGATATAGGTGATACCGCGAAAATGAAACACCCAGAGCTGACCAAAACTAGTAATTAACGACGACAGTAAGTTGTCCGAAAACATCTACAAGTAGAGAGTACTTCAGATTTTTATTTAGTTGTAGAACAGAAGAAAACAGTGCACTGGGATTCACAAAAAACGATATTATCACAACGATGAGAAAGGCATCGGAGAATCACCTCTTCAATACTCCATATTTATGGTGAGCATGACATGAGGATGCATTAACGATGGGTCGATGAAGTAACGGTGGCTGGTAGAAAAATCGCCAATTTAGGATTTGCTGATAAATGTGATTGAAGCCGATAATTGCAAATATTGCGGAAAATTATGTGATCTTGATCATATCTGGTTTAAATGTCCTAAGTTTAAACAGCATTGAAACTCCCTCTACAAAAATTTAATTAAATCTAATACGTATGCACCATTCAATATTCAGTCTCTGCTGGCTAACGACTCACAACAAATACATACATATTATTATAGATTTCTTGTCAAACACATGCACGGTTCTATAAGATTTGTACGCGAGTATGAAATGGCCGCGTGGAAGTTTAGATTTGCATCCTTCGTTTATCCTAAATGTTTTAACACCTTATCCGTGGTCCAGTATTGTTTGTATACTAAAAAATGTCTTGATGGGCCCCTAGACGAGAGTTAATTTTGTATTAGGGAAAGAATTATTTATTTGTCAGATTGGAGAAACTATTGCAACTAGCTGAACGACTAATGTCAATGCCATTAAAAAATTGTTGATGTTACTACACTTATAGCAGACAATGAACAAGAAATGATAGATGCCCTTCGAAGAATTGCCATTTGAGTTTTTATAAATAAAAAAAATTTACTACAAACATTATACAAACGAAAACCTTCCTCTTTAATCACCATTAGTCTTTATAATGGGTGGCAAGTGCAATACTAGTAGATCTAAGATCTAGTAGGATCTATCTAGGATTATGGAGTAACACCGAGCCGGAAACCTCTATCTCTTTTCGTAATTACTACTCATCCATAGATCAATCCGTTACACCAGCCGACAGTCTACGTAGCAGATACATCCACAAACCACTATTGTGGATACATCTAGAATCTTTACGTCATCATTTTTGTTTTCTAGTGGTCTGAACCATCGACCATTAGATCATTTACAGTGTAGTGAATGTGATTTGTTAACCTGGCCCCCTTGGCTGGCATCACTAGTACATACTTTTTGCAAAATAAAATGTTACATCATAACGCGAAAAAAATTATATTTTATTAATCCTCTCTATTCAATTATAGGTACATGGAATATATTTTCTACACTGAAAGAAATTATCATTCAAATCTCGATCTTTCTAACAGTTGGGACAAATTTGAATGAATCATTTTACTGAATGTGATTTCAGAGCTTTTAAAAATTTCCGAAGCGGTAATCCAAACGTCAAAATAAACGTATTTTAAACTGAAATTAAAACGGACAATATAAAAGATTATTATATTGGAATGCGTAAAACTTCTGTAGTCGTTACATACTACAATGATTGTAAACACAGAAAATATTTGTAATATTGAAAAAAATATATATAAAAAATATGCTATTTTGATATTCACTTCCAATTTATGTAATATGTAACGTAAATTATACTTACAAGACTTAATGCGGTTGGTAACAATGGAGATCTCTTGGTATCTGCAGGACTAATATTTGATTCACCTTTTGGGCTACTTTGAGGTGGAGACCCTAGCAAACTTGGGCTATTAGGTAATTTTAACTTCAGTTCTGTAGTATTATCTGATATTGTGTTTGTAATGTTTACGATTTTTCTTATTTTCGTAAATGCTTCAGGAGTATAAAACACGTTGTGTGGCTAAAGAAATGAATGCATTGTAAACTCAAATATACTAATTAAATACATATAGCAACTATTATTATTCGTAATAAATGTTCTCATGCAAAAGATCTAGACAAGAACCAGGATGTCTACACATGATTAATTGATTTTGAAAAGGCTTTCGACAGGGAACACGACCAATTAATTAACATTTTCTAAAAATAAAAACATAAGCCAATGATATCAGAATAATAAATTGATATTGGAACCAGAAAGTAAATATAACAATCGAAGATCAACTGTATGAGATAGATATTCTGCTATTTAATATATACATATATATATATATATATATATATATATATATATATATATATATAGAGGCCATTTTAAAAGAGACTGACAGAAATATTTTAACGATGGCATGATTATAAATTGTAGAAATTATACAACAACCTAAGGTATGTGGATGATACTGTCATATTTATTTTAACTGTACAGACCTTGGCGGATTTGTTACAATGACTGAAGGAAAAAATCAAAAATATGACATCAGAATAAACTAAGGGAAGACAAAAATTCATCATTATCACATTTTTTTAAGCATTGGTTTAGAACTCAGGGGTTCATCAGAGTTATTATAATACACAAGATACAAACCACGATTAGATATGTGGGCAGCAAATAGGTACACATACAAAGTAAATATCCATTCAAATTTTTCATTCACACCTTTAATTTTCATTTTTTTCTTTTCCAGATCTATACCATTATCAGTTTAAAAATTTCACTCAAGGGGTGGGGGGGGGTGTAATATTTTTGTTTTTTTTTTGTTGTTTTTTTTATTTGATAGTATAACTCTTCAAGAATATTCAGTGTTCAATTTCAGAGCGATCGGAGCAAAGTTGATGGAGAAGTCATTTAGGAGTGAGCGAGTTAAGTGAGTGAGGTGAATTAGTGAGGTGAGTGAGGTGAGTGAGTGAGTTGAATGATATAGGTGTGTGTGTGTGTGTGTGTGTGTGTGTGTGTGTGTGTGTGAGTGAGGTGAGTAACTGAGGTGAGAATTGAAGTGAGTAAGTGAGGTGAGTGAGCACTCACTTAAAAATTGGAATAATTACAGTGTCAAGTTCTCATAATTATACACTTGCGAAGATAACAATCGAATTACTAGAGCGGATAAAATGGCTGCAGATGCAACAAAAAAAGGCAGAGTTCGAAAGCAGAAGCAAAAAACGCTGTAAATATTTTAGCAGAAAGCACGTCGCTATATGGGCCTAAAATAGACAATACCGTGTGAGTATAAAAAAATAAGCTTTTTCTAAACGCGTAAAAAACGTACAGAGGCTATAAGAAAGGTGAAATTAAATCATAAATTTCAAAATTTTGTTGACCCAAACAAGCATTTACAAGTCCAAACCAAGTCGTCGGTTAATCCATTTAAGGAACACATTATAAGAAATTCAATTTATACATTTGCTAATATTCACAAAAAAGACCTACCATATATTCTGTTTATGAACCAAAACGAAGGATTTGTAACTTATAAAATATCTTCTTTAAGAACAATTGTGAAGAAATTAGGATTTGAATAAAAAAACTGGAAGACAATAGAAACATTTTGGTGAAAAAACTACCATAAGGGCCAAAGGAACAGAATTTCCAAGAACACTCAGAAAATACAAATCTGAAAGTAAGATTATTCTTTAAGATTGTAAGTAATTTTAAAGTATTTCACAATGTTTGTAAATAGAAATATTGTATATAGTCATGAGATATACATAGTTCCCACATAGTTCCAAACAGTGGTTATGATGGACAAAACATGTGCTGTATCTACTAAATGACGACTGTTTTTTTTATATTGTGGTGGTAAAAATGAATTTTTTGAAAACGCATGACTAAAAACTGATAATTATCATGACGACCTGAATCCCCAAAAATATATAACATGGGTGGAAAAAAAGTTCTTCCAAATTTAACTTCCAATGCAATTTTAGTAATAGAAAACGCTTCATCTCCTAATATGACTATCAGAAAATATTCTACATCAGCTTTGAAAGAAGACGTCGTAAAAAATGGTTGGCATACTTTTCGAGGAAGTGAAACAAAACCGGAGTTGTACAATAAGTAGCATACACTAGCTGTGCTAAACCTAAAAATGCTATGTATGCTGTAGATCAATGACTAGCAGAGTATGGTCACCCGATTTCACGTTTAGCACCATTTGATCCGGAAGTGAACTAGATGAAAAAGAGACGGGCCATTTTATACAATGAAGTGACGGTAAGAATCACCGGTTTTGAATCAGAGATTTAAATCAACAACGACCATTCTGCTGAATTTCACATCAAAATCCTATTCTTTTTCTATCATACATTTATTTTCACTCTAATATTTTTTGCAGGTCTTTGTTTATTTATAATCAAAATTTGTGCAATGGCTACATTACGAAAGTCAATCGTATTGATATACGATTTAATTTGACCAGACAACGGTATATGATCTGCCCCACAGTTCAACCTACTCATATCAATATTTTTTTTTGGTTAGCATATCATATACTGTCATTTGGGTATCATATACTAAAGTCATGTTGTCTTTACTACTTCTCAAAAAGAAGAGATTTTCAAACAAAAAATTATTAAACCAATATAAGGTTGAATGTTCGAATAAATGAACTTTGATGGTACACAAGGCAAATTTCGAACACAGTATTTAATCAAATCTTGCCAAGTACTTTCGATCACTGTCCAAGAATCACTTTCGTGATTCTGTCTCCGGCTTCTATATAAAATGTAGCTTCTCCAATTTTAAATTTTAAAGTGTTTGTTTGTCTTTGTTTAGTGTATTTGTTATGTCCCAATTTACATTTATGACATTCTGTTACTGCTGGATAGACCACAACTGACGAAATGCCCCTGAAGATGATCTTGTGATCGAAAGTACTTGGGCAAGATTTGATTAAATACTGTGTTCGATATTTGCCTTGTGTACCATCAAAGTTTAAAAAATTATTATTACAAATTAGTTTCAACGGAAAATATTAATACAACGAATGATTGCGGGACCAAGCATATTATAAATCCAAATCATGTGCAAATCATCATTTCTGGGACACATATCCATGACATTTTAGAATGATCTCTAAAAATACTTACCATTTTCGGACTGATAAATCTAAACAGTATTTCTGGATAGAGATTTGGATGTATATTTGACAAATGATGATACATCGTTTTGATTTCACAAGAATTGCTTGAACAATAACCACATTGGTATACAGACACGTTATGAGATATTGACCAGTGTTGTAATAATTTTGCATGTGTTATTCGACTAGTACATGATTCATGACCACAAGTCAAAAAATTATTGTTTTTATGTGCTTCCATAACATGGTCTGAAAATTCATTTTCAAATAAAAATTCCAAGCTACAACCTACAAATTAATAACACAATTAATCAGTTTGTCTAGCGTTGCAAAAATAATAACAAAAGTATTACATTTTAGCGATTTCTTAGATTAGATAATATTTCTGACGTTTATTATCATTTATTGATGCGGCATAAAAAAAATTTCATCGTTCATACGAAAATTATAATTAAACTATATGGCTAACATTTCGCAATAAACTAGAAAAAATAAGTAGTATGCTTATAAAGTACAAAAAAATTAAAAATCTTCTTGCCTTAGTGGAACTTCGTTCCGATAGTGGTGGCAGTCCTATGTTAGCAGGATTATAACGTATGAAAAACCGCCATGTTAGTTGCGGTAAATTGTGTAAAACACCCTGTTTAGTCACTTATTGTTCTTCAAATATTACAATATTATTTTATGACTTGATATAATATAAAATTCTAAAACTGAACGTCATGTAGGCAGTTTTGGTCAGTATAATTATACCCCAAAACCATCAAATCTTAGTAATCTTTAGTAAGATCTAAATACCGCTGTTAGTTAAAAGAGACCTTTTTTTAATTAGGAAAATTATATTGTTATATTATAATTCACTTCTTTATTTTTGTACTACTCGTTTCTTCGTCTATCTTATTTTTTACATTTTTTCGTTTCATTGGGGTCCAAATACGGGGATTCTGTATCTCAATGTAGACAGCCGAGGTTCCTTATAACAATTCTGGGCAAAAACACCAAAAAATTTTAATCCTCTGCCTTAGCGAGGCTGCCATCCATCTCTCTCGCGTCGTCTGTCTCTCATTCTCTCCTATTTCGGTCTGCGACAGTCCGAACCGCACCGAAATGCTATTCGGTCGTTTCAGATTTCTGTTGCGGGTTCCCTCTCTTCTCGTTCTTTTAAAGAGAGCAGCTTCCTGCTTAATTTGTAGATCCGTGTTCACCACCACTCCTCCGTCATCATTTTTTCCACCATTTCTCTAACGAAATCAAACATTCTGCAGTTACACTCTCTTTCATCCGCCCAAAGCTCACACTCCAACACTCGTTAATGTGTTACGAGTTCACACTCGAGTATGCCACAGTATCTAAAGACCACAGTGAATGCACTGATCGGACTTTACCCTCCTAAACCTGAAAAGGTCGCTACAGATGCAGCCATGGCCTGTAAGCATTTGTGTCAGATAATAATCCAGCTGTCTATCCTCACAGTTCACCCAGCTTCGAAGGTCCGCGATTAGTGATTTCGTCCATTCCGCATCATCACGTGTTACCTCCCACTCTTGCTACCATTTGCCGATTAAAACTAATCTCTTGGTCAGCTTTATCTCACTCACCTCTCGCTCTCCATGTTCCGCCCCCTACGACTATGAGTTCTGACCCTTTCACCTACCCGCACATGTAAAGGAACAAAGCCGGTGAGCATACAGAGCGGTAGCTGACACGTTCCTGTAGGCACATTTTACCCGAAGCAGACTAGTTCTGTCGACGCGTACCATGAGCCTCTTGTAAGTTGGTATTTCTACCCCTTGGGGCCACATGGAGGACGACCGACGGCACAATACCGTGAAGCGCCCTCTTCCTTTCGGATTTGAGTCCACCGATATTTGGCATTATCCCCTACAGCGCAACCATTCTCTGAATAGCTCTGCTGATCAACAACTTCAAATGTTTCCCCCAATTCCACCCCGGTGGAGAGTAACTCCCAGATACTTGATGTACTTTGTGGGCGTCACTCACTTTCGCGCACTCAAATACAACAATGTCTCTTTCTGTAATATCTGAGTACTACAACCTCCGTTTTATCCCCCGCGAGAAAAATCATGCTCACTCAACTCATCCAATCCTCAACGAGCACACACGCACGCGTAATGCGAAACAAGAGTGCCTTCCTGTAAGAATGCAAATAGGACGATATTTTCCTGCCTTGAATTTAGGTAGGATCACAAGCCACGAGATTTTCCAGTGATCCGGAAACGACTGCGCGGCTTGAAGAGTATTCTTGACGTTTTTCCGCATACCATACCACTGTCCTTGTGGAAACAGTTCGGTGACTATCTCCAGCTTCTGGTCCAATGGCATGAAATGGGGAGCACAGATAACATGTTTGAGGCCTTCAACCGAAGATGTAAGACGTCGAGCCTCGGGTATCTCCCATCATATACAACCCAGTCCACCTGATATCCGATATCTCGACAGGCAAGGTTTGGGTCTAGCAGTATCCTGGGCATACTTGTTAGTATAGTAGTTCAGATCACTGTGCGTGTTACACGATGTGCATCACACGCACAGTGAGCTGTTCTTAACTTGTCGGTCATGCCCGCCTCACAATAGGGTGACCAGAATGTATCTTAATTCTTCCAATGACGCTAACTCTCACTGCTCCTTGGAGGAAATGTTCACACATGATCGGCTAAATTACTCGATGGTTCAACGGTAATTTATTTTTATATATTCACTATACTACGTCAGTGCATTGTAAACATAATTATCTTTTGAATATTTATCTATCTAGTAACACGACCTCATAACGGTCGTCCATAATTATTACCAATTTTTTATAAAACAAAATTTTACAAAAAGGTTACAATATTCAGTACTTAAATACATTACTTACCTGGTGTGCATCGATATGGTTTGCATAACATTTTAGGATCTAGCTTAGCGTCAGTGATGGTAAATTTCTTTTGAGATTTATTTGAATTCAGTGTTAATACAGAAAAAGGTTGATACGGATGGACTCTCTCTTGATGCAAAGTTACATATGATTTTAAACATGCTCTATATAGGCAATACGGGCAGGCATACCTGCAGTTTGCATGTCTTATATCAATATGAACTACAAGATGTTCCCAGGGAGTTTTCAAATCACAATAAACACATGGAACCATTGAATCTTTTTCTGCAGTGCGACTACATACTGTACTTACATGCTTCTGTAATTCATCACCAGAATCAGAACTAAAGAAACAATAATATTGTGGACATTTATACAATTTTTCTACTTCTTTAATAAACTTGGAAATAGCTTTAACTGATTTTCTAGGTTTTGCTAACTCCGTCGATGTTAATTTGGCTTCTTTAACAACAAGCTGCAGTGGTTTATTTATAGGGGTAAGAGGTGGTGGAGTTTCTGCAAGCGATACAACTTCAGCAATTTTGAATGGGAATGGATTACCATCTACTTCATTAGTTTTGTTGTCTCCGTCATTTATAATAGTTGTTTCTGAAACACCGACAATATCTTTCTCTGTATTGCTAATTACACTTTCATCTGACTTCTCTTTCTCAGAATTTTGGTTATTTGATAAAGCATCACCACTTAATTTTCTAAGTCTTATCATTTGAGGTTTCGGTACAGTTCTATTCTCATTTACTTCTCCGCTATAAATATAATCGGAGTGATCTGTTATTGTGTGCTTAAATAAGTTTTCCAATAAACTACCATCTGGTGATGAGGATATTTCAACACCACATGTTTCACAACGGTCAGATCTCTTAAACTCGAGCGCTAAATGGTTTTCTTTACAATGTTTCTGAAATGTATCTTTATTTTCTGTAGAAAAAGAGCATAGATCAACTAAGCAGTAAAATGTTGATAATTGATCTGTTTTAATCACCTTTATCAAGCCACATACTTCTAACATTTTAATTGAAGCACTTGGTGGACCCACATCAGTTAATTGATTGACGTGGATTAATGGAGGAGGTTCATTATCATTAGCATCATCGTCGTTAAATTGATTATTTTTATAATGATCGTCTGATAACCTTGCTTGTAATTTTTCAATCATATTAATTATACTGTTATCATTTTTCTTAGAAATCGCTAACGCAGATGCAGGTAATGATTGACTTGTTTCAATGGTTTGTTCTTTAATACGTTCGGAATTTATTATTGGTGCAGGGGTTGAAGTGAAAACAATTTTTTCTAATACAGGCATTGTATTAGTACTTTCATTTATTGTATGATGAACGTTTTCTATAAATTCTTCTGGTTGTTCCTGTTTAATATTAATCTCACTTGGATTAATTCGGTCACATAGATTATCCACAAAATTTGACGACGTTCTATTTTCATGTGTGACACCAAGTTCATCCATTTTCGAAGGACCATGTTGTTCGAGTTTATCCTTTTCTTCTTTAATATCTATTTTGGAAGTAAACGCATTTATATCTATATCTTTTTTAATTACCTCTGCTTTTATTTTAACTTCTGGCAAATCTTTTTCTTGTTTTTGATCATTAGTTTTTTCGGCAGCAGAAATATTTTCGTTAATAGTAGATTTTATATCAGTTGGTTTATCCAAAATATCATTATGGCCAGAACTATCCGTTGGTTTATCCAAAACATCATTATGACAAGAACTATCCGTTGGTTTATCCAAAATATCATTGCAAGAACTCTCCTTTGTAGACGTTTCATTTACTTTCTTTTTAGATGGAACGTCCGTCATTTCCATTATCTCTTTCAATTTTTCCTGTGCTTTTTCTTTGGCAGCTCGTTTAGATCTTACGGGCAAAATCTTGTTAAGATCTAGATCAGAATTAATGCCTCGCTTAATATTAAGCGTTTTAGTAACCTCTACAGGTTCACTTAATGGAGGAACAGGGATAACGGTTGATTTAGGTTTAGGGCCCGGTTTTTTCTTTGACTTTGGACACGGCTTCGAGTTGCCTTTTTTGATAGAAGAAATATTTTCAGTACTTGAGAGTTCACTTGAAGTCATATAATCTTCACTAACTTCAGCATCATTTGTCTGAACTAAATTATTGCTAGTATTTTCCTCTAATGATTTTTCTGGTTTGTAAAACTTTTCAATTTGTTTGTCAAAAATAGTAGACAGATTAATTTTATAGATGGGAGTTTCACCTACATGATATTTCTTTATATGCTGCTCTATCGTGTTTTTGTTAGTTTGGACATAGTTACACTCAGCACACAAGTATCCGAATGTAATTACTTCATTAAAAACCTTTCGTACTACAGGTTTATCGTCTGCATCTTGATGAGTACTATTTAAGTGCATTTTAAAAGATTTACTACTGCAATATGAAGCAGGACAATGTGTACAAACGTGTCTGTATTCTCCGGTGTGCGTTGTTATATGATCATAAAATTGCGTAGGCAGAACTTTTGTAACAAATGTACAAAAACGGCATGTATATGAGATCCTTGTACTTTTTGCTACTTGATATTTATCATATTTCTCCATATTCATTTGGGCATCAGCTATTGCTTCCTCGGCCAAAGCTGGACTAAGTCTAGAGCTTAATACTTCTGAATTTGGATGTTCCACTTTGTAGTGTGTAGTTATGTACCTGCCCTGAAAACAGCACAATTTACAACTGTAGATTTTTTTCTGTAACGAAAAATCTATCCAAAATTCCTTTGTGGGGATGATTTCCAATGATTCTTTTGGAGACATTTCGATTTCAGGTAATTTCAACGGAGTTAATTCATCTAAGTTTTGTTTCTTTTTCTTTTTTTTAATTATACCTGCCGCCCAATTACTTCTTGGTCGTTTTCGTTTTGATGATTTAGACTTACGACTCTCACCAGTAGATAAATCATCCTCTTTATCAGAACGACTGTCTGCATCTTCGATCTCTGAATCTCTGTTTGACATTGATACCCCAGTACTTATAGAAGATTCATCATCGCTTTCTGTAATAGTCATACTTCTAGTGAAACGCCTTGATGCATCAGATTCATCAATAGTTGTATCCGGTATTTTCTGTATAAGTACCCTTACATGTTTCATAGTTTTAAGATCATTTTCAGTTTTCTTTTTATTTTTATGTTTCGGCTGAGATTTTTTAGACGTTTTCGAGACTATTTCTTCTGTATTACATTCAATGTTTTCTGGATTCACCGCAAACTTATCGTCTTTTAACATATGACACATACGCTTACCAGATGCAGTTAAAACACCATCTCTAATAAACATTTCTTGGATATCTTCATGAAGTCTATCCAATTCAGATCTAACCTTTTTTCTAGCCTTATTTCCTAAAGTTGCAGTTCTTTTTCTTGATTTTGTTCTTTCCCCTACGCTAACCAATACCCCACTTTCTTCATCCAATTGATCTCCTGTCTTTTCTAAAATATTTTCGCTACTTACAGTTTTTTCACTCAATGATAAATCATTGTCAACGTCAGTTTCGCCAGTACTTTGCTCATCGATATTCTGTTTAACTAAAGATGAAGTTTTTCTCTGCCTTAGTTTACGTTTGGGAGTAACCTTCTCATCTTCAGTACTCTGCTCTTGTGTTACCTTATTTTCTTCCACTACCTCTTGAGTATTACCCTCCTCAATAGTAGATACATTTGGCTTTTGGGGCAGTTCTTCATCAGAACTATCTTTATCCTCTTCTTTGGCGCGAATGATTTTAGTTATTTTATCTAATTCCTTTGGACTAAAACTGTCGGAGAACGTGCTAATAAGAGAATATAAGGCAGTCTTCTTTTCATTTTTATTTTGGCTTCCTAGGAGATTAGCAAAAAATTGTGCTAGTATTGTCTGTTCAGTGGGAGGTTTAATGGGTTCTTCGATCTTTGTCGAGGTTTGACTATTTTGAGTGTTAGAAATACTTTCAGCTTTTGTGTCAGCAGTGATATCACTTTTAATTTGCTCTTCACTTGTAGCCGAAGGCTCAAATTCTTCTTCTTTATGCACTGGAGAAGAAATATCCATTGTGGTTGAGGTTACTTCTAATACATCGTTATCGGCACACACGGAACTTTCGTCTATGTCCTGTTTAATTAAGGTTTTATTAGGCTCCGTTTTAATTTTAGTTTCATTTAAAGTTGACACCGAAATAGATTCTTTGTTATCTACACAGTTTACTGAAGTTTTATTATCTTCTTCACTATCACTTACATCAATAGTTTTATTTGAATAATCAGGCTCTTCTTCATCTTGGCTACTAGTGTCTTTACTCGTTTCAGTATCTTGTTCCTTGACCTTCTTTTTTTCGCCCTTTTTCTTTTTAGGTATTCTAAAACTTTGAACTCCATATCCTTTACCAGATTTCTGTTCTTCTCTACTGTTATATAAACTATCTAATGGAGATGTAAACGTGTCACCTACCATCACTTCCGTTCTATTTGATGATCTCGACCTTGAACGTGATCGATTCCTATTTGTTCTTGAATACAGTCGATCAAATTTAGAATCGAATCGATTAGATTGTGGATCCTCACGAGCTGACGATCTTCCTCTATTTAGTCTTGGATCCCTATTATTCTTTTCAGCTGCTTCCAAGGTTTGTTTTGTAACAGTATTTTCTCTGTTAGCTGATGCATCTCTATTCAGTCTCGGATCTCTAATGTCTTTAACATCTTTTGAATCTCTCTCCCTTGTATCTCTAACCACTCTAGGATCTCTACTATTTTCTCGCATTTCTCTGTGCTCTCTATATGTCATAGGCCCTCCAAATCTTGGTTTAAAATCCCTTCTTTCCCAATGTCTGTTATCACCTAACCTCCATCTCAAATTATCGTTGGGTGGATATGATTCTCTATTAACAACGCCATACGAACCTACATTTTGAAACGGTTTCTGATCTTGGAAATGAGAAGCATCAATTGATAATAAGGGCGGAATATGATTATACTGAGGAGAAGGACATACGTTTTGAGGATAGTAGTCCAACCGAGGCGGTTCCATGTGATTAAAATTATTAAATGGTTGATTATACCTCTGCGGCATATTAGGTGTAAGTAATACGTTATTTGGAGACATAATTGGAGAGGTCTGTTCAACCCGATGCCGTCTAGAATTAAATTCCTCTCTGACATACTCAGAAACAAAATTGTCTCTAGGGGACATAGGTACAGATGCATTTCCATGAAAATTATCTCTTGGGGACATAGGTACAGATGAATTTCCATGAAAATTATCTCTTGGGGACATAGGTACAGATGAATTTCCATGAAAATTATCTCTTGGGGACATAGGTACAGATGAATTTGCATGTAAATTATCTCTTGGTGAAGCCAATTGAGTATTTGAAGTAAAGGTCTCTCTTGGTGACATAAGTGGAGAGGGATTTGGAGGAGATACAAAATTTTCTCTGGGAGATAAAAGAATATTTGGACCTTGAGGATGAGCTCGTGGTGTGGGGTGAATTCCCCTTAAAACTGAATTATGTGTTAACGTAGGTAGAGGAGGTTTGAATGGAGGAAGTTGTGGTTCCAACTGTGAACATTTTACAAGGCTAGCTGGTGGGGGAGGTGGTGGATCCGACAGCCTATTTATTACGGGCAATATTTGAGGCGATAATTTCATACTTTGTTCAATACTTTTAGTAATACTCGTATCAACATCATCTGCAATAGTTATTACTCGAGGTTTCTGACTATACTTTTCAGCTAACCTTTTAAGACTAGCGGTGTCTATTTCATCTTCGGCTTTGAAATCATTCAAATTATTCACATTAGTTTTTGGGGCTTCTTGTTTAAGAGGATTTGATAAACGTCTATTTCGGGGATCTTCTGGACGTTTAACGTCAGATTTAATCAAATTTTCCTTCACACGGTTTCCTTCTTTTTCCGTTTGTTCCTTAAATTTTTGTACTTCTGTTTTATTCCGTTCTTCTCTTAAGTACGCGTTTCTACGTTCCTCCCGTTTTCTATTCACTTCTCTGATTTTTTCATCAATATCTGATAAAATACTACCAAAGCCACTGGATACATCTTTTACAATTTTTGAAGGTACTGAAGGTACTTTAGGAACAGCAGGTTCTTTCGGTTTCTTTGAATGTCGTTCATCTTTGAATGTCGAAGAAGCTTGTACATCCCTATTTAATTTTAAATTATGATCAGACTTTGGGCGGTTCTTTTTAGAATCATATTTTTTATCCTTATTCATTGATTTTATGTTTTCAAACATTAATTCTGTAGCAATTTTGTTTCGTTTCTCAGTTAATTCTTTTAGACTAGCTGCCTCATTTATTTTTTCTTGTACATCAACCTCTAAACACTTTAAATCGTCAAGACTAATGGGAGGTTTAGAAATATCACTAGATTTCCCCCTAGAAAGCTTTCTTTTCTGCTCATCTGATTTTAAGCTTGTGTCGCCTTCTGTTTTGCTAGTGTAATCTCCTTTGTCAAACAGTACCCTGAAAAATATTTGTTATTATTTTTCTAATACAAATAAATTATATATTTAAGAAATCTTTAGAAGTATTAAAAATGTGCAAAAATAAAGCTATGGTTCGATTCAGCTCATCAAACGATTTCTCATACAAATAAATATATTTCCTTGATATCTATTACATATATCTACTAAAGTAAAAACTAAAAAAGATATGATTTACAAACTAAAAGTTTATGCAATTAATCAGAGTTGACTGTTTACTAATAGTCCTATGTCCTCTTCTTTCTGGTTTAAACGACACAACAAAAACTCCACAGTTGGATGGCTATGTCCTTAAATCGTTCGTGCACTCGCCGTTGACGATCTAGTCAACGTGGTTCTCAAGAAATATGGATCGATGCACCAAGCTCAAAATCCATACCAATCACTGACTTTTCAATGGCATGGCTCTTTCTATTAACGTGCCCATTCATCCAAGAGTGGACCTCATCGTTGAAGGTGACATTTTGATAAAAATTATGGTGTATCCAAGTGTTCTAGAGCACATTCAGCGAACACGTGTTTTTGTTTATGATCACTTGCCTGCTACCAGATTCTGATTTTGAATCGTCAATTGAACTTTATATGGGTGCAGGCTCAAATTACGACGCAAAATTCACGATATTATGGTCTGTGAAAATCCAACTTCTTATGAACAAAAAGAAATTGATGGCCTTTGATTCTTCTGCACAGTCTCATGTAGAGTGGCGATCTTTCCAGTAGATATTTCGTTTAGTTAATGTACGAACGTTGGTTAATTGTTTACCATACCAGTGAACTTTAATTTATCCACCACACTGCTAATATTCCTCTATAGTTATGAGCGAAACCTCAGTTTCCTCGAACTTTTTAACATGGAATACTGTATACGACGGAAATTTTGGTAATTATCAGCATACTCTAAAAATCTAACCTGAGTGTAGAGGGTAATCTAACGGGTAATGCTGTATACATATGAAAATTTGTGGACGACCATCCGACTATGTTTTAGATAGGTTTCCCTGTAGTTTACTTCGAGCTGTTATTGAAATAGCTGTATAGTTGGACGTTCTTACTAATAGATGAATTATTCAACATATCTTATACTTAAAAAAAATTGCATGAATTTCAAAACACGCGCAATTTTTCTTTGCATAGAATTTTTGTAAACTGACTATTCCATGTCTATAAAATCCTTGTAGATTAATTCAGACACATAATCAAGCAAATATTCTACAAAAATGTCGATGTGGCTTTCGTATGGGCGTAAATTTTTGATAAAAAATCGACGAAAAATGAAATCTTGTTAAAATCATAATAGTAGTTGACATGTTTAAGATATTTGGATTAAAATAACCTATTGTCGTAATTCACTTTTCAACACAGTACCAATTAAAATTGTTTGACAAATCGATTCATTACCTCTGTTATGATTATGAGTATAATTATATAAGTAAGGCCTTATTTGTGTATAAAGTTTAACATATCTCATTCAGTTCAGACTAAGATATATTGCTTATAAATCGATCTCAAAAATCGAATATAAGACTTTTTCAAACACTTTCGTCTTTAATTTGCTTCATGTTTAATTTAAACAGACAATTTCCACTATCGGAAATATAAAATATATCGCTATTTTTCGTGTTTGAATTCACTTATCAGCAGGAAGTAGAATCGCACATAATGAGTACGTCTCAGAGTTTTACAACATGCTATTTTTTTTACAGTCTTGTTTGGATTTTAACACAAAAACTCAGATTCAGACTCAAAGTAAGAGGGAAATAATATCTCTGCCCTAGCCAACGAGAGTTAATAGAGTCAAGAAATTCGACAAAAACATGTCTGTAACATGACCATGTCATCGTATAGAGTTATTACAAGTCTGAACCTCGATGATGAAGTCGAAACCATGTTGCAATCAGACAATGCGCATATATTTCTTGTTTCATACGGTGACAATAGGAATGAAATTTTATCCAATTATTGATAAATTATTATGCTGAAATGTACGCATTATTCTATTCACAGGCATTGTAAAACTTACGTTTTCATCATTTTCTTTACTTCCTTTTAAGTCATTTTAGCCATATATGAAACACTTGACGACGGCACATTATCAACTAAAAAGACTTCTGAGTGTACGAGTAGTGTCTGAAACATGATTTATTTACTAGGATAACTAGATCTGGCTCAGGAAAAAAAAGTGGACGAGACAAAGCTCTCAGAAGAACTTCCCTATATACATTTACGCAGAGAGAAGTGCTATATGCCGGTATCGCGGCTGAATCAACGTGCCCGCTTAGCCAGTCATCGCTATTGTGTGCCATCGTCGACGTACCTGATTCAGTGTTGATGAGTAAATGAGGCAACAGGTATCTGATTTATGTCTTTCAAACATTCTCAGACGTTGTAGAACCATAAAGTGTCAAATTAACATAAACGGGTATAATATTAAATCAAACACTCTCCAAAAAAGTTATCATAGTTGTTTTACCCTCAATGTTCTATTACATGATTTTTGAATGCAAGGTATTGCAAGTATGCTTTTGTATTAGTTCTTCGTGACAAATAAATTTTGCATAACCACATTTAAACTATATTAAAATAAAACTATACTATTTCTAGTTTACGACAATAAAAATTGCGTCTTACTTTTCCGATGGTAGCGAAGCTGTGGAATTATCTGATAAACTAGGGCTTGCACAAATCGTTCTGGTAGTCTCATTATCTGATTCAATACATCTGTGGTTCTACAAAATATTAAATATTTAGGATTCAAATATATTTATTCATTATTAGCACTTACCACTTTTGTGAACAATTTCGAGATAACGTCTTCACATTTATTTAAGGTCTCGACTTTTAACCTAAAAATTATAATCATGTAAATAACCATATACATATAAAATAGACTGACTGTTGCAATACAGGCTTGTTCCCCCCAGTGCGACCAAGAAAACTGACGTTGACGTAAAATAGTTCCCGCATCTCTTTCTAATGGGCCAGGTTTATCGACCACGTGAGCTAAACAACTAATGGGAAGGTGATGATTAACTAACACTGAAAATTCCCCTCAGATCGATCCATCAATTACTTTAAGTTATACTATTTGATTATTTCAGAGATTTTTTTTTTTCGATAACATTAGTCAGAAAATAATGAAGATGCGCTAATTCTATACCTACCCCATAAGAGTTAAACTATAAATATGTATACAAACGATTAAAAAAACTTATTTTTATAAGCAAAAATCTTTTTGCAAAAATTACGATTATTTTTTACGTCCAAACAATTAGAATAACTTTTAAGCTATTACTCGTAGACGAAATATTTTTCATGTTTACAAAGTTGACAGTTTTACACGGATTTAACCAAAAAACAAAGTTACTCTGGAACGATTAGGTAAAAAACGGGATGTGGCACTCCAGGAGACAAAAGAGGGGAAGTATAGTGTTCTTATCCTCTACGCACGGAGTGATGGTTTTAATTTACTGTAATTTATTTTATTCTATTCTAAGTTATGTTATTTCTATTTGATTCGATTCGATTAGATAATCGATTCGATAATCGATCCGAACGATAATCTATTGGATTTGTTAATCGATTCGTTTAGACAATTAATTCGATTCGACATCGACTGGATTCAATAATCGATTTGATATTCAATTCGATTCGATTCAATTCGATAATCGATTCGATTTGATATTTGGTTCAATTCGATTCCAATTCGGTAATCGATTCGATATTTGATTCAATTCAATAATCGATTCGATATTGGCTTGGATTTGATTCGACATTTGCTTGGATTTGATTCGATTCGATAATTGATTCGACAATCGATTATATTCGATAATCGATTTGACATTTGATTCGATAATCGATTCGACAATCGAATCGATAATCGATTTGACATTTGATTCGATAATCGATTAGACAATCGATTCGGTAATTGATTCGATAATCGATTCAATATGATAATCGATTCAATTCGATAATCTATGCGATTCAATAATCTGTTCGATTCGATATTTGATTCGACCCGATTCGATTGTAGTTTATTTTATTAATAAACTGAGTTTAACTCCACCTAGTGTGTGGTTTCGCGATATATCGTTACAGTCGCAACTGTCGCTACAGTTACACTTACATTTATTTTTCAGCTTATGTGCGATTCACCGCTTAATTCATAGCCCGCGATAAGAAATCTATGCTTTCTATGAGATAAGATTAAACCTAGACAGCATGGTCTGTGAGTGTTAAAAATGAGGCTGAAATGAAGATTAGTCGGACCATGTTAATGTCGATTCAAACTCATCACTCCCGTCACAGTCCCGGTGCCGAACCAGTCCCGTCTGGTCACAGAACTATTCGTTCGTCTATTCGCACACACCCGAAATGCAACAGTCTTCGGCGACCAATCCGTTGAAAAGATGGAAAGTTTCTCGATTGGAGAATTGGCAATAATTGCTATATGTTGGGACGAGGAAGAAGAAGCGCAAGCAAACCAAGAAAAAAGACGGAAATGGATCCATGATACAAGGAAAAAAGGGAAACCGAAGGAGAATACGTGACACTATATAAAGAACTGCTTAGTGATGATGTAAAATTTCATAAATATTTTAGTATGTCGAAAAATTGCTTTCTTGCCAAATATTATTTTTAAAATGAATGTCCATGTATTTTGCATGCGACAAATCACATAAAACATTATATTTTCTCAAACATTCTATTAATTGTTCGTCAATAATTTTATTTTGTTCACTTCCTTTGTGTACCTCCCGTCATGTTCCCGGCAAAACCAAAAAAATCGTGGCTGAGATTATAAAATCGGCCGGGCGATAGACGCGTCGAAACCTGACTGCTGGGAAACTGTTCGTCAACTGATGAATGTGAATGCCGGTGGCATATTTCTATTAAATAATATTTTGTATGACGGGTTGTTCGGTTCGGTGCCGGGACTGTGACGAGACGTGACTGATGTGTTTGAATCGACCTTTAAAAGGAAAATTAAAATTCAAGCTTTCAAAAATGTTATTGAACTTCAAGATACTGTAAGTTTCTTTATCTCCAGTTCCAGTTAATAGTACGTACATTACAAACATGTAATGTTTTAATAATATTATTAATAGGATTAATAATAATAAAGTAATTTGTTTAGAGTTAAACAAATATATTTTTCCAAAAAAATTCTTTATTGTATTCTAATAAATCTTCTACTATATAATAACACTTTAGTCTTTATCTTTAAAATGAAACTAAGTATTTTTTAAATTATTATAAACAAATTAGCTGAGAATTAAAAATTAATTCCTAATTTTATCTAATCGTCCCAGGATAACTTTCTATTTCTTTCAAATTTATGTAAAAATTATCAGCTTTTCGAATAAAAAAGATTTTACCTACGAGCAATAACTTAAAAGTTATTCAAATGTTTATAATCAAAAGTATCCGTAATGTTGCAGAAGATTACGGTGTAAAATATTTTGTTGTTTCACTTTTTTTGATACATATTAATAGTTTTAGTCTTAAAACTTTCGTTTGGTTGGCGTAGAATTGCCATACCTCCTTTATTTCTGACTAATATTCTCTGGGATAACCAAATAGAATAACCTTAAACTAATTGACATCTAGGTTGACTTTTACAACAGTTATAAGAATTAACGATTTTGCCTTATTTTGCATTTTTCGAAGCAACAAATTAGCAAACTTTTAACAATCGCCATTTTGACACTTCTTTCTTAGGTTTTAAAAGAGAAGTTTTGTAATGTTACCTCAAATATTACATTTTTTAATAATGAAGCAAAAAAACAAAAAAATCACTAAATTTTTAATAATTAATAAAGACACCGAAATTTCTGCAGAAAATGTATAGGTTTTCTTTATATAGGGCTATAATCACTAAAAAATTTCAGATGCCTGGATTTGACCTGTACATTAGATCCACATAAATACACAACTACAAGGCTTGTTCAATTGAAACCCATCTTGGGTTCAGAAAAAAATTATTGGCAAATATATATATATATATATATATATATATATATATATATATATATATATATATATATATATATATCACTAAATTAAGGCACATATCCCATTGTTTCACCAACGATGTATAACCTGCTTGAAGAATTCTCTTGTAGCTGTTAGCTAAAAATGATTACTTGTTGTTTCAGTTGCCCAAAGGTTTGAAAATCTCAAGGCGATAAATCAGGACTATGGGGTGGATGCTTTAATATCTTTCATTTCTTTCGTTGATATAAATTTTCTTTTGCTACTTTGGTAGCATGACGCCAAACATTGTCGTGCATAAGAGGTAAGCGCTTCCTTGGACGTTTTCGTTTTATTGGTTGATGGAGCTTGTTATACAGGTTCGCGTTAATAAGTGTCCCTCGAAGTAAAAAAAGTTAACATGACCTTTTTGCTTTGTTAATTTAATTTTGTTATTTGTTAACCTTCTGCTTGCAAAAGGTAAAACTTTAAACTTCGTTGGTGGCGGATAATTTTCGTATTTTCATCGAATGGATGACATGAATAATGATACCAAGAATCGTCGTCAGGAATTATTCACGAAAAAAAGTCATTACTGTTTTTCCTGTATTCCGTTAGATGTTGCAAAGATAAACCCATTCGCAAGCTTTTTCGGTCTCTGACAAAAGACGAGGAACCTATTGCGTACAAACTTTGCTGTAACCCAGCTTGTGTACGCTACTATGGACAGATTATATACTCACACCAGTATTTTATTGCTCTGGTTGATATTCGACGATTTTCCCTAATGCCACATTCTGGTCTGTTAATGCAGTACTCAATACCCCTGATCGCGACTTATCATCCTTCTCATCTCTTCAAGTTTTTGATACAATTCCTTGACTTGGATAAGCAAAAACGGGCGTTTCTATACACTGCTTGTATTCGCGATGAATTTGCAATGGGGCAAAACAAAAATTAAATGACCGCACGCTGATTATATTTGAACGAATTGCTAACAACAAAAACAGCCTTTTTAAGTCATATACGCAATACTTATTTATACTCGCAGTCAAATAAAAATGATAGGAACTGATCAGTGTGACGTTTACAAACATAAGTAATATTGCAGAACGTCATTCGAGTGATTAAAATTGTATCCAAGGCTAACTTGATCAAAGATGGGTTTTGATTAAACAAGCGTATATATGACGGGAGATCCACAAATTCTCGGCCTGATAAAAATGTTTCTGAATTTTCTGATTTAATATCCTTAAACTTAAATGCGCTTAATAAAAGACCCCGACACTTTCCTTATGTAAAAGTGGTTTCAGTTATATTGACTGAAACAGTGCAGAGAGGTCATGCTGATTACAAAAGTTCTCATTGCCGCAAGACTCAGAAATCAATTGTTTCTGAGTGACAGAGATTCAGAATGTCGGTTTTTACTCCATTTGAATAATATATATTTGTAATTGTGTGTAAGTGCAACAACTTTCACAGGTGGGTCACATGAAACAATACTGAGAGTTAGCTATATAAATGTATGTCCACAAATGCATCGTTTTCCGAGATACGGGGTGTTGAAAATTTTCTTACAAACTGACGATTTATTTTTCTGGTTGAAATATGCAAGTAAATTAGTGAGATTTAGGAGACATCTATTTATTATTCATTTTTTCCATATAATTAAGAATTTTCTAATTTCATATTCATGAAAGGTGCGCATATGGCTAATGTTCTTAATTTATTTAACCTATTAGTTGATTGGCTAAGAGTTAAATCTTGTGTCACGTTTCAGGGAGATTATTTTCAACGTGTTTTATAGCTTTACGCCTATTTAAAATATTATTAATGCTACTTTCTGTTATTCTATTAGATATGTAGTTCTCGA